TGTCACCGTCATCCAGGAACGAGTTCTTCCCCTGCTGAGTGCCAGACACTGGCCCACGGGCTCCTACGCTGCCTTCTAGGGCCCATCCTCAATTGCCCGTAGCCACAGTCACCCTGCTTTCAACCTTGACCCCAGGTTGGCCTTTTTGGGACTGTCCCCAGATCGAGGTGCACCTCTGCAGCCATGAGCCTCCACCTGCGGCCTCCGCGGCCTGTGGCGTCCCACGCACAGGTGACAATCCGAGCTTCGGGAACCCGGCCAGCTGCTCCCGACCCCCTGGCTCCGACCCAAGCCCATCCCGGCCCTCGGGGACCCCATCTTCACATTCCCAGTGTCTTTCGGTTGAACCCCAAACCTCAAACACATCCTGATACCTCATTTCCTGCATGTGGCCCCGGGTGACGGCCACCGTGCCGGGGGCTCGAGGCTGCATTTTGAGTCACCCCGAGGCGGCGGAGGAAACGCTGTCATCTCAGGAGTCAGTGGCCACACGGAGGTGGCCGTTCCCACCGGCCCGCCTCGTGACAGGGAGGCAGGGAGGCTGCGAGTTCTATTGTATTCGGGAAGGCAGCCTTGGCAGGAGGGAGTCCCAGGCGTGGGGACGGTCCCCATGTCACTGCTTGGGGCTCAGCTCAGCCCGGGGAGAGAGGCTGTGTCCTGTCCCCAGATGCGCGTCCTCTCCCAGCCATCGCCACCTTTTGCTTTTGTTTTTGGAGACGGGGCCCAGCTGGTCTTGACCGTGAGCTCCTTCCTGCGTCTGCCTCCCGAGCGCCGGGATTGCAGGTGGGCGCCACCACGCCCGGCTCTGGCCGTTCCTGCCTCTTGTGGATAAGGACACCGGGTGCCGTAAGGGACTGAGCGACAGGCGACTGCAGAACGGGCGTTTGTCAGGAGTGGCGTCCTCCCTGGCAGATGAGACCGCGGCCGAGGCGCACACCGCGAGCCCTTGGATCGCAGCAGCAAACGCCCCGGCGCGCTTTCTCACAAGTTGTATTTATGGAGTAGAGCGAGGCGGCTCACGCCTGTAATCCCAGCTCTCGGGAGGCTGAGAGCAGGAGGCTCGCAGTTCGAGGCCGGGCACATAGTTCTCGAGACCCCATCTTGAAATAACCAGAGCAAAATGGAGCACAGATGTGGCTCAAGGGGTAAAGCTTCGCAAGGGCGAAGCCCTGAGTTCAAACCCCGGTCACACTGAGAGAGAGAGAGAGAAAGAGAGAGAGAGAGAGAGAGAGAGCGAGGGAGGGGGAAGACCAAGCCCGTGGCCGCGGCCTCATGGAGTGACCCCCGATAGCCATCAGCTCCTGTCCCATGCTGTCCTTTCCCTCGGTGGCTCCCGATGCGTCCTGTCCTGCCCTGGGAACGCTGAGAGGGGAAAATTTTGGGGGAAAAAAAAGAAAAAGCCCACGTCACGTCCAAGCCAGGCAAGCTGACGGGCCGATGTCCCCGCGCGTTTGGGGACAGGTCCCTTTGTTTGCGCTGCTTCCTGTTTGAGGCTTAAAAACAGCTGTGGACCTCAGCCAGGGCCGCGGCGCCCTCCGTGGTGACAGTGGCACCGAGTGTGGCCTTGCATCCCACACAGGGGCTTGAACACTTGGGTTCTGTGCAGGCCAAGGGCCACCCGCTGGGGACACGGCTGGCGACGGCCTAAGCCCGGCTTGGTGTCAGATGTCACCTGTGCAGAAAGAAGGAGGCCAGGGGTCACGAGGCCCGGACGTCACGGAGGCCAAGAGAGCAGGTGGCAGTGGGGACAGGTCGCCTTCCTAGAGTGTGTCTGGGGGCTTCGTGGTGGCAACAGGATTTTTTCTTCTGCTGGGACTGGGATTTGAACTCAGGGCTTTGTGCTTGCAAAGCAGCTCTAGCACTTGTGCCACGCCTCCAGCCCAGTCCATTTTGGAATTGGGGTCTCAGGAGCTATTGGCTCAGGCTGGCCTCGAACCGCGATCCTCCCGATCTCAGCCTCCCAAGTAGCCGGGATTACAGGTGTGAGCCACCGCTCCTGGCTCTTCCTTGCTTCTTCAAACAGCCTTGTGGGTTTCACGGTGCTGTCACACGTGTGTCACACTTGGCCCCCCAAGTGTGATCATGGTTGTTTCCCACTCCGGGTCTATACCCTACATCCGAGTCGCCCCGAGCTCGGCTTATCTCATGCGGTGAGGCGACAATCCCCGCTTCCATTTCCCCGCAGATGACAATTTCACTCTTCTTCATGGCTGAGTAATACTCCACAGTGCAGCATCATCGTTCGTCGGGACTGGGCCGGCTCCACAGCTTGGCTCTGGTGAACGGCGGTGCCATGTTGACGTTGTGACAAAATGAAGGACGTTGAGTCAGCTTCGGAGTGTGGGTCTCGCTTTTGAGTGGGGCCGTCGCTGTGACCACAGAGGACAGAGGTGGTGCGGTGTCTTGGTGACAGGACGGGGATTTATTCCCAGGGCCTCTGTAGGAGGAAGGAAGTTGTAGCGGTCGCCTCTGGCCGCAGTCACGTGCTGGAGGCCACTGAGGCTTCCACAGAGGATTTAGGGCCCCTCAGGGACCCCAGCCTTGGAACCTGCAGAAGGGGGCCGGCTGCGCTGTCCTGACCGGTGTCCGCCTCCCCCAACTCCACAGCAGCCTCACTTTCTGTTACTTTCAGTCTCAGGAACCACAGCCCTGAGCCCTGTGTAGCTGGGGCTGAAAAGCTGTCTCTGAAAAGCAAATGCACCAGGTGCAGCAGTGCACACCTGTAATCCCAGCACGCGGGAGGCGGAGGCAGAGGGTCTCCAGTGGGAGGCTAGCCTTGGCTGCCCCTAAACAACCACAGAGAAAAAAAGGAAAGTCAGGTCTTTGAGACTCTCCTCCCCTCCCCACCTCAAGGAAGCCCTGCAAGTTCAGGGAAACTGAGGCAGGGGTGGCTGAGAGAGGTAGGAGGTCCGGCAAGTTGGTGCCTTCACTGACTTGCATAAGTGAAGCAGCTCAGAGGACATCAGTCCCTGGGGACCTTGGGGACAATCCTGGAGGTCAGGTACCTTGAGACCGTCACCTGCAAGCTGGGCACGGTGGCTCACACCTGTAATCCCAGCTACTCAGGAGGGAGGGATCAGGAGGATTGCAGTTCAAAGCCAGCCCCGGAAAATAGTTTAGGTCACCTGTGTTCTCCATGCCATGGCCCAGCTGGCGAGACCCCATCTCACAAGACAGACAAACAAATGAAAAACCCCACGACAGCAAATCTGTCACGGGGGATAAAGGTTAAGTCAAGCTGACAGCGACTGTTTATTTTGCGGTGCTGGGGTTTGAACTCAGGTCCTACACCTTGAGCCACTCCACCAACCCTTTTTTGTCACAGGTTTCTCTGAGATAGGGACTTGGGAACTATCTGCCTGGGGCTGGCTTTGAACCGCGATCCTCCTGATCCCCGCCTCCTGAGTAGCTGGGATTACAGGCGTGAGCTGCGCCTCCAGCCCAGCAGGTGTTTTTAATGGGAACACTTGACTCCTGGCCTTCCTGTCCCAAACCTCTCACCCCTGACTGGTTGTGGGGACATCAGACAAATCCCAACCCAGGAACAAGGACAGAGCCCCGAGCAACCCTCAAAATGTCACCATCCACAGGTGCCTGAGGAGCTGGGAGGGTGACAGGCCACCGTGGAGTGGAGAAAGGACCCGAGGGAGAAGGGAGGAAGCTCGGATGAAGTGTGGCCTTCAGTTAATAATACTGAAAACGCGCTGGCTTGTTCCTTGTGACGAATATAGAGCAAGAGGTGAGGTGCCAGAAATAGGGGACCGATTGTGTCAGGGCTTCCGGGAACACGCCGTATGGTCTCGGTGACTTTCCTATCAATCTCAATCGGTCCTAAAAAAAGAACTGTGATCAGGACACAAAAGCGAGGAAATAAACATCTCCCCGGGAAGGACTTCCCGCTGGGGACAAAGGACTCGGGCAGCGAGGAGCCGGCCCTCCAACTTCACAGGAAGGGGAGTGAAAGTGCCACCAAGCCAGGTGGCAATGAGGTCACAGCCAACCACAGGCCGAAGGGCCAGGGCCACAGTGTTTCTGACTGGCCAGTCTGGGGACGGGCCCGGGAGTGACCCGAGGACCGCGGGGCTGGGTGACACCTGTCGTTTTAGACACCCGTCCTCCGTGTTTCCCCGGGCTCGTCACCGGGCCAGGTGTGGCGTTTCCCACCGTGACATCCGTCACGTCCACGCTCCAAGCTCGGGCTCTGGGGTTTTCAGGTGAGGGAAGCCACGCGTCCCCGGGAGCACCGCGTGCGCATTGGGGAGTGGGGGACAATTTCCAACAGCGGCTTCCGCGGTGGCTCCACAGCCTCAGAAGGCACAGCTGTCCTCCTCCGTTCTGTTTCTCCGCGGGGACCCCGAGCCAGCGTCCAGGCTGGGGCGCTTCCCTGAGGTGTCCCCGGCCCCAAGGCCAGGAAAACCTCTAGACGCATTCACCACGGTCCCCAACTTGGGGACATTACACCCCAGCTGTCTGAACAAAGAAGACTGTCCTGTTTTGTATTAAAATATTATATTAATCATTCAAACGTCATTTTTGTACAACGAATGCATCCATCGTGGGGACGGGTGCGGGACACGGCCGTGCCTGAGGCCAGGAGCCGGAGGAGGCAGGGAGGCACAGGAGGCCAGGCCTCCACCCCTCCGCCAGCCTCACGCTTCTTTCCACACAGGGGCTGGCACAGTGGACGTGGCCCTTCCCGCCCGCAGGGCTGGGCTGTGTTTGGTGGCCTGGGCTGGTCCCCAGAGCCGCAGCCCCTGCCAGCTCGTCCTTGCTTCTGGTGGCTGTGCATATCTGGACGCGAAGCAGGGACCCTGTGAGCGCGGGCTGTCCCCAGGGCCTAGGCGGCCGGCATGTCGGCCTTGCTGAGCGCGATGGCCAGCTCCAGGTCCTCCTGCTCCTGTCGCCGCAGCCTCGCCAGCCGCTCCTGCTCCGCCTTCTCGCTCTCCCGCTTGGCCCAGGCCAGCTGCTGCTCCTCATTGCCAAACTGCAAGACACACGGGGGCAGGGTGAGGCCACTGCGGGCCAGGGATGCGGGCCACAAGGCCCAGGCCACCCACCTGCCCCAGCTCTGCAGCGCCACCGTTCGCCTGCGCTGGGGATGGGACCTGGCCTGGTACCCCAGGTCCCCTGAGCTACACCCCCGTCCCCGCCACTGAGTGTTACTCTTCTTTCCTTTCTGTTGTTTTTTTGAGACAAGGTCTCCCTGTAGACCAGGCTGGCCTCGAATGCACGATCCTCCGGCCTCAGCCTCCCAAAGGCTGAGACCACAGGTGGGCACCACCGCACGTGTCCCTTAAATTGTTCTCAAGATGGGGAGGAAACCATCTCGGTCCTAAGACTGGTGACTGCAAACCATAAAGCCGCATCCACCAGCTCCTCTCGCCCTGGCTTTGGGAACAGACAGACCCGCAAATGACACCAACGTGACCAGGCCCACTGGACTGGTGGACTCCAGCAGGGGGGCTGGAGAGGGAGGCACGGGGCCACCCCTAGAACTCAGCCCTCAACACCATCAGGGTGGACCGCCATCATCTTGGTCCTCTGACAGCTGGGGACACCGAGGCAGGGGAAGTGGCTGTCCGCTGTAACTGGCGGGGGCAGCCTTTGGTCCTGGGGACCGTGGGAGGGTCCCCGTGGGAAGTTCAATGCTCTGCACTGCAGCTGGGAACAGAACTCGGGGTGGGAGGAGAAGGGGTCACAGGAGCCCAGGAAGGTGGAGCCCAGGCCTCCCTGTGTGCTCCTGGAAGGGAACAGGGGACGGGGAAGCAGGTGAGTGGAAGGGACCCGGCTCAGAGCCAGATGTGACCCTGAAGCGAGGCGGAGCCAGGAGGTTCCCTCCCCTTGGTCAGTGTCAGAATGAAGAAGGCGCCCCTGGGAGGAAAGGCCAGCCTTGGGCTGTCCAGATAAACCCGTGGGGTCCCCAGGATGGACCCCTGAAAACTGGCTCCTCCTCATCTGCTTCCACCATGAGCCACAGACACAGCCCTCCCCTTCCCTGCTTTTGGGAATTTTCCAATGCCTCTGGGAGAAAAACAAGGGGACATCAAATGCCAGGGAGCTGTCTTCACAGAGTGACCGACGACAGAGGGAGGGGACAGCTAGACTGATGACAGGGACCCTGCTGTCCTCCAGCATGGAGGGGTGGGGTATTTGGGGACCACAGCTCAGAACCTGGGCCCATGGGGCCAAGCAAGCAGCCTGCTTCCAAACCACGGTCTAGAGTCACAGAGTGTCACCCAGAGTCACAGAGCTCCATCAATGAGCCTCCACTCAAGGGATCCGAGCCTGCACGTGAAACGCAGTGACAGGAAAGTTCCAGGTGCCTTCAGAGACCCGGCTCCAGGCCAGCGTGGGGACCTCACGTGGAGACTGCCCTTGGGGACTGCAGTGTCGGAGAGAAGTTTCCAGAAAGGGATTCTCTCTGGGGAGAAGACCTTCCCCAGGCTGGCTGGCGCCGCTGCGACGGGACGCCTCCTGCTTCTCTGACCAGGAAGGGCCACGACATGGGGCAGATCTTGGGGCACAGCGGCCGGTCCTCGGCTCTGACCTGTGCTTCCTTCTGTGCCGTCAGGGACAAGGACAGAGCAGGCACAGGGCAGCCGTCCTTCCTCTCCACACATCACCGTCAACAGGCTGCACGAGAAGAGGCTTCATGTTGCAGCATCTCAGGAATCCACAGTCCACGGGTTCAGGGACAGAGGTGGTGACAGCCTTTCCTCTCGGGAAGCCACCACACTCTGAGGCAGTGGCGGCTCGCCCTCCTATAGTCAGCACTGGTCCTGACCGTGAACCTGCCCCGGCTACCCTGCGCGGGTCACTTGCCGACGGACACAGGGCCACACACAGGCTCGTTCTGAGGGGACTCTAGGCAGAAGACACTTGTCAAGCCAGCAGCACAGTCGGCCACTGAGGGAAGGAAATTCCAGGCCCATAAACTGGTGGCTCCCGTGTGTCCCTCTGCACGCCACGGGGAGGAAGGCGCAGCGTGCCCTGCTTTGGCACAGGTGACAGGAAGCCCCGGGCGGCTCTGATCCCTGCCGCCCATCCGTCAGAGAGTGATGGCATTTGCTACAGGTGGTGGAAACGCTGCGACCCAGAAGCCACCGGCCGATCGGCCAGGACCTGAGAGCGGTGCTGACGCTCTGACCGAGGGGACGCCGTCCCTCCCTCACTGTGTCCCATCAGAGCGGGTGGTGAGCTGTCTGTAAGTTCAGCTGGAAACACGGTGGCCTCGGCAGTGGGAAAGGTGACTTTAAATAACAGACACCAGGGCTGAGGGCTACACCAGGCGGAATCTGATTTCTTGCCCGGGGAGGGGGATGCTTTAAAATCCCAGTCAGTGTCTGTTCTGGAAGGACCAGAAATGTTAGGCTGAGTGACACCTTGAAACCTTGGTTGTTTATTTAAAAAAAAAAAAAAGTTTTCAAAGCACGAGCCCTTTGGGCTTGGGGTCACAGGAAACAGAACTGTGCATCTCAGCAAGGACACCGCCATTTCTTCCAGCCGCCATTGGGCCCACTTGCCGGCTCTCCCCCAGACCTGGTACCTGAGTCCTGCGTGAACAGCGCCGTGTGTTTTCCTCCGCGTTGCTGACTTTTCCACCAAAAGCAAGCCCAGTGCTACTGGAAAACCTCCAGACAAAGTGGCTTAGTTTGTGGCTGTGACTAACAAGGTTACCCTTCTGCACACATCCACGGTGTGTGCTGACCTGTGCTAGGCGTCGACGACATCAACCAGGTCGCCAGGCATGCACCGTGGGGGTGCAATGCTGGGGGACATGGCCGAGGTGGCTTGGCGAGGCAGGTGCACTGCCACTTCAGCCACAACCCCAGGCCGTGCCCTCCAAGGCAAAGGCCTCAGCGTGGTTGATCCACGTTCAACTTCTTCTCATTGCTGCTGATCAAAATACAAATCGCAAATTCATCAGCTCGCTCTCTCTTGGTGGCACTCGTCTGGATCCCAGCCCTCGGGAGGTGGAGGCGGGACGGTCAAAGGTTCCAGGCCAGCCTGGGCCGCACGGCAAGCCCCTCTCCTGTCAACGGTCAGCAGCCACCCAGCTCTCCCCTCAGCGTCCCGCCTGGCCCGGCCTTCTCCCCGCACCGCCGCACAGGACGCGCGTGGGCGGGACGAGCAGAGCAGGGCATAATGACTTTGCGGGGGACAGTGGGGTCCCACTGTCCACTTGGGAAGCATCTCACAGCATGGCTTCCAAAACTCAATGAGCAAGATGGTCCCTGTGTGACCCGGTCACAGAGCCCGCTGTGAAGAACAGAAACGGGCGTCCCATGCCACCCTGCAGGAAGAAGGCGCCCTTGGCAGTGTCTCCCTTTCTAGAGAGGATGCGTTTCCTTACAGAAGCGGCAGGCCCCAGGAAGTGACCCGTGGCGGGCAGCAGGAGGGGCGGAGAGGCGCGAGAAGAGGAGACACCCACTGCGACCCCAGAGAGAAGCGGCAAGCAGGAGGGGTTGGCGGTGGCAGAGGCAGTGGCAGTGGCAGTTGCGGAAGGGGGACTCAACTTACAGAGGTGAAGTCCGCAAAGCCCGCGGAAGAGGCCTTAGAAGGTTTAGCTGAAGAAGAGGGGACAAATGGGTCTTTTCCACTAAACGGGTCCCCAAACCCCTTTTTATTTTGGAACGGGTCGCCGCTGTCAGCCCCGAGTGGCTGGAACGGATCGGGGGGCTCGGGGATGTCTGCAGAACCGAGCTGGCTTACGGGTGTGCTTTTACCTGGAAAGTGTAGGAGAAACAAAACAAAACAAAACAAAAAACAGAAACAGAAAACAAAAAAAGGAGAAAGAAAAGAAACAAGTTACTCGCCAGGGACAGAGCAGAGTGTGGAGCAGGGCCCTTCTGCCTCTCCGGGGAAATTGGAGAGGGGGTGCCCCTCGGGGACCCCCCCCCCGGCCTTTCTTTTGTGCCTGGCGCTGGTGGGGACGCGGCCCAGGGCCTCACCTCACCACGAAACTGCACCCCAGGACAGGGGCGAAGCCAGGCCGTGAGTGACCGGAGCGCCCTGCAGCTCTCACACGCGTGCTCACGTAGATGGTAACGCATGCAGCGTGCACTGGGACAGTGCTTCTGACGCCCTAAAGCACGTAGGCTAGAACTGCGGTGACAGTGACTAGTTACGCAACTCACAACAGCCACAGAGGAGACTTTCAATGTTCCCAACACAAAGGTTAAATGGCTGGGGTGCCCCAGACACACTGGGGAGCCGGTGCATCTGTGACTTGGCACCCTGTGCTTCCCAAACACCAACAGTTACTAAGTGTCAATCCAAGATAACAGTTGGGAACATTTACCATGGCCCGAGTTACAAGAGAAAACACCATGGCTGACAGGAGTACACCACAGGCTTCTAACAAGGACAGGGGAGGGTCGCCTGGCTTTCCAGCCTGGGCCGGAGCCCCGGCCCGCTCCAAGGGCCCGGGCAGCTCGAGGAACAAGCCTCTCCCATCCTGGTGTTAAAATTCTTTTTGTTCCCACTTCTGTCCTTGTGGTGGCTCCAATGGGCAGGGTCTGTTGGGCCTTCCTGGGCTTTTGCCAAGCAGGGGACAGCAGATGCCCGTGTCACAGTCAGGCGTCCTCACAGCAAGGCAGAAGACAGGGGCGTGGAGAGGCCACGAGAGGCAGAACGTGCCCGAACACCCACTGGGGACGTGCGGCTCAAGTCACACGCCTCCCAGAGCGCAGGCTCTGTGGGCCAGAGGCAGCACCCGGGGAGCGGACGCTGGATTTGGGCCAGGTGACTGCCTCGAGGACTGGGGCTCCACCACATTTAGAAGGACTCCACTCTGTTAACCTATCAGCCCACACTGGTCCTCGCGGTTTTGAAGTTAACGTGCAAAGAAACCAAGGGCTGTCTGTCACAGTGACAGGTGGCCTTGGACATCGGCTGCATCCAGAGGGCACTGAGGCCAAGTCACTCCTGAGCATCCTTCAAGGGGACAAGTTCTCAGCATCACAGCTCCAACACCGTCCTCTCTGCTTTCCTGACAGCCACAACCCCGAAGACCCCAAACTGTCCCTCGGGGCCCTGGTACCACAGCCTGCACCTGCCACTTTAGCTCTGGGACCTGCAGAAGGCGAGACCTCGGCTGGCCTTGGGGAGAGGTGACACGGTGCGTTGGCCTGGACATCCCACGCTGCCGTGCTGGACACACGGCAGGTGCATTGTGCCCGTGGGGCCGGTGCCCACGGCAGCCAGGTGGCTATAATGTACGGCCCCAGACCCGCTCTGTAATCTTCACAACCTGATGGGCACGCCATGACTGCTGGCTCCATTCTGTGAGCTTAGGGAAACTGCCTCTCTTGTCCTGGTCTGCAGGAAAAGACGATGACACACTGTCTCATGGCCACCTTGACACGCCTGTGGGCAGAGCAGAGACCTCTGTGCTCTGTGCCCTTGGCCCAGGATTCCACCCAGGTTACGGTCTTGTCCCTGCCTGGCCACAGAGGCCCTGGGAGACCCCTCCCCCCAGCTCCTACATGGATGAAGAAGGTGGGGTGTACCTTGGGCATCTGTCAATCTTCCCTAAGGCCCCAGATCAAATCAGGTAGCTACAGAGTGGGCCTGCTAGGTGGGAGGACCCGCCACGCCCAGGGATCAGGATTGGCCTTCCCTAGACACTGGACTTCTCAGGGTGCCCTGCCTCTGTGCCTTCGGTGCCCGTCTCTCTTCCCCACTGGCCCCTCTCCCTGCTGTTCCCCACCGGGGTTCACTCCCCTTCTTCCTCCTCCCCCCACCTACAGCTTCCAGAGCTGCAGAGCCGGGTGACCTGGCCCCAGGCCACCCTGGCCTGTTCTGCTGGCCTTGAAGAAGGGCCTCCCCCGGCTGAGGGGTAAGCCAGCCAAGGCCATCCTGGCTCCTGGCATCAGAGCAGTAGGCAGGCCTTCCCCTCCCCCTTCAGAAAGGGATGGGCAGCTGGGCCTGCCGGGCACCCTAAGAACCAGGCTGGACACCTGGGGCCGGGGGATGGGGGTGGGGAGTGGTGGCTATACCTTGCTCCTCCCCCGTCGGCAGCCTGTGAACGTGGAGCTGCTGTCCTCCCACTGACCACAGCGCTCCATGGCTCCCTGCTGCCCTAGCATGACACGCCAGTCTCCTCTAAGCCACCTGTCCCACGCTGGCTTTTCTGCCCCTGCCCAGCTCCCATTCCTCCAGCACTGTGCTCTGCCTGAGCACTGTCCCCCAGCTGGGGTCTCCTCCACCGGACTGGCCGCCAACACCCAGCACTCACGAAGCCGAGACCTACTCTCCATGCCCGGTCGCTGGCTTGGATCGAGGCCCACAACAAAGCCCTGGGTAGTGAGCTTTTCCAAAATGCGAACTCCACCAACAGGCTCCAGCACACCTCCCTTCCCAGTGACCACCAACCCAGGACCAGATGTGGCCCTGCAAAGTCATGAGGGGTGCCAAGAACCCCCCAAACACACACACAGCCTTGCACCCTCTCTCAGCCTCGACTTCCTCATTCAAAGAAAGGGGTGTTAGGGCTCAATGCGATCCCTGCAGTTCATACGCTCAAGTCCTGACCCCGTGCCTCAGAATACGGATGGAGATGGGTCGTCACAGGAGTAGCACAGTTAAAATGAGGTCACTGGGACAGGGGTCCTCTTAAGAAGAGGGAAACACACACACAGCAAGGGCTGGCCGTATGAGAACACAGCAAGCCACAGAGAGGCCTCTGGGGAAGCCAGCCTGCCGGTGGCACCTTGACCTTGGAGCCCCAGAACTGTGAGACAATAAATGTCTTGGTAAGCCGCCCCCCCCCCCGCCGGCCTGGTAGTCCCCCACGTGAGGGGCCTGCCCACGTGAGGAGCACTTAGCCCTGGACCAGTGGCCAGCATCCTGAGGGACTGGGACCCAGGCTGGCTCAGGTTCTGCTCCACAGCCTGTGAGAAAGGGAGGGTGACTTCTGCATCCACAGGGCTTGTGGTGTCACCCTGCCTGGTCACCTATTCACTGCCACTTCCACAGTACCGACCTGCCACACTGCTACCTGGCTTGGCCAGTGTCTGGTGCCTCTCCCACCTTTGCACAGGCTTTCCTTTTACTTTCATGTTTCTGTTCCTTCAGGGGCTCCCCCTATCCCTCTGTCCACGTCCCATGGCACATGAAAAGCTGGGCATGTCCAAGAGCCAGCTCTGTGAGGGCCCAGCCAGCAAATGCTGCTCTGTGTCCCTGGTTCTAACAGGCCTGGAGCTCAGCACAGGGGGTTCTGGTGGGTGGGTGCCAGGGGTACAGGCTCTACATGTCCCCAGGGCCCTTCTTTTCAGCCAGGACCTCTTCCTCCCGGCTCTGGGGACTTCAGAACACAACTGTTTCAGGGAGGAGCTGGGAGTCCTGCCCGCTAGGATACGAAGCTCGGCCCTCACGAGACAAAAGCGCCATTCACACCAGGAATCGCCCGCGCCTGGCTGTGCCCTGTTCCGAAACTGTGACTGTGTTTATCTGAAACCACGGCTCAGCAACTGCCACCTCATTTTCAAACGAAAAAGAAGAAAGATTTTCCTTGGGGTGTCTGTTTGGGGCTCCGGCGCACGGATCCCTTTCCACCACCCTGCCGGGTCTGTGTGGCGCTCCCCCCACTGCTTCCCACTTGACACCCCAAGTTATTTTTAGCAACTGCACTTTTCAACATTCTGGGTTTAGTTCCTGCTTTTTATGCAACCAGTTCTGCAAACTCCTTAAATGTTCTCTGACTCTCTGAGCTGCCGCCTGTCTCAATGGTGGCAAAGTGACTTTAATCTGCCCCCGGGTCCCTGAGAAGCAAAGACACCGCGCTTTTGGCACTGCGCGGAGCTGGGGGCCGAGGGACCGCAGAGGTTGGGCGGGACGGGGAGCGGTCACTGATCGTCGCCCATGTAGTGACCCCGCGGTTGTTACAACAGCACACGGTTTGGTGGCAGCATTTGTACACATGAACAGGGGGGCCCCACTGGTCCCCACCGCCTCGCAGAAGGCAGTGCATTCAGACAAGCAACACTGAGGAGCCCGCCCGAGGCTGCTGAGTCCTCATTCACGGGGCGGGGGGGGGTGGAGAGAAATACAAGACTGAAGATAGAGCAAAATAGAATTTATTTTCAAACCACAGCAGTTTCAACAGTTACCCAAGTGGTGTACCGAAACCGCACACAGGGCCAGCTTTGGCAAAAACAATACGAGCCCATGGCTTACCACAGCGTGCGCTGAAAAAATAAAAGACTTGGTGGCCGGCCCCACCCCGGTAGAACTTCTTTAATCCCCCTCTTTCTCAAGGTTTTCGAGGCTGTGGGTCCCCCTGGCACACAGCATCGGGGGTGGCGGCCGTGATGGGGCAGGAGCTGCTGGACCACAGGGCTGAGAGGCGATGCGAGACTCTGCGCCTCTCTCCCTGGCTTTTTAGGAAACCCTGCTGCGGGGTCCCCAGAGCCGGGCGGAGGCTCAGAAAACACTATGGACCTAAACAGCTGGCCCCGCAGCCCCGAGAGGAGATGGCTACGAAAACTCCAGCAGGAGGACGACTCTCTTGTTTAAACGGCTCCGGAGGAGAACAGCAGTCTGGAGTAGTGTAGGGGGCTCCACAAATCTGAGTTAAAAATATCAAAATTACAAAAAGCCAGCTGTGGTGGTGCACACCTGCAAGCCCAGCACTCAGGAGGCTGGGGCAGGAGGCTCGTGGGCCCCGGGCTGGGACAGGGTGCAGAAAGACCCTGAAACAAAAAATCAAAGCAAACCAACCCCGGGGGTGGGGGCACATGTGCGTTTGTAACCTCGGATCCTGGGGGCTCTGTTGCTACCGCTCATTGCTGCCCTTGGGAAAGGCAGAACTGTAGATGAGATAAACACACACGCGCACACACAAATCAAAAAACAAAAACAAAAAAACAAAGAAACAAAAGCTTGCGGTCAGGGCAACTGCTCCACCCCAGCCATTATCCTATGCAGCACAGGACGCTCACACAACTGTCATTTACTGGACACAGAGCACCGCACACGGCTGTGCGTCCTGCACAACACGAATGCCACACACATGGTGCGTCCTACACATCACGGACTCCACACAACCACGGTGTGTCCTACACAACACATCGGCCAGGCTTCTGTGAGTCACACCATCCATGACAGCTGTGGCCCATGTCAACAGATCTTTTCCCTCTCTCCCCAGCCCACCAGCAAAAAGAAAAAAAGCTGACTGCGGGAAGAGGGGACAAAGAGTGACAAGTATTCTGGTGCAAACTTAAAATGCACAATCACTCGGGGACTTTTGCTGGAAAGGATGGCCCTCTCCAGGCTTCTCAGGGTGTCCCATGGGAAAGTCAAGCCCTGGATGAAAGCTGTGACAGCAGACCACGGGGTGACCTTGCAGGCAGGAGCCCTGCAGACGTGAGAGGCAGCCCCAGAGATGAAAGCCATGCCAGGCAGCACATCCCCGAGAGATAAAAATCTGAGGTTCCCACCATCACAGCATTGAGATTTTCCACCAAAAATATTTACCGAATTTCAAGAAAATCTGCTTCCTGCATTGAAGGGGACAGGATGAGGTTTGGGTCTGAGCTGCGGGGAAAAGCTGAACAAATGTTTACTGCACCTGCTGGGGGCCTGTGAGCGGGCAGGGGGTGTGGGAATCTTTCGGGGCTGAGCCCGGGGCACAGGTGACCCTTCCATCACTGAAAGAAAAGAAGGAAAGGGAAAGAAGTAGCCGTGCCTTTGGGTCTGCAGAATACAAGTGTGATTTAGAGCAAGAAATACAATTTTGTAGAGGTTTCCACAAAAGCTCTTACGAGGTTGCCCCTCATAAGAGGGTAGGGTTGACAAGATTCGCAAATGGAGGGACTTTACAAGTCGCCTGCCAGTCTTTTTTGTTTTTTTGTTTGACACAGGGTCTGGCTCTACAGCCAAAGCTTGCCTAAAGCTAGTGATTCTCCTGCCTTCACCTCCTGGCTGCTGGGGTAACAGGCGTGGCCACCAGGACCAGCTCCTGTCGTCTTCACAGCAGAAATGACGGAATGGCAGGTCTCCTGACTGTGTTTTGAAGTCACATTTGTGCTTTGGTGGGCACCTCTGACCGATCTGCCTGAGCGAGGGGCTCTGGGGGAGATGTTATCTTGCAGGCGCGGGGCGGGAGGCAGACCCTGTATCTGTGCACAGAAGGGCTGCGGGCTGGGTTGCTCCCCTCTGCAGAGGGCAGGGGGTTGCACACCACACCTGACATCGCCACAGACTGCGGGCACACATACGTGTGGTGATCCACGTGCCCTGGGGTGGAAGGGCATGCAAGGGCCTCATGTGCGGGGGAGAAGGCATGGGGACTCCACAAGTGGGGCACCTGGGAGGGAGTGGGGCCTTATTCACCATCACTGCAGCCCAGGGCACAGGGGACAGGGAAGGCCCGGTGGCTGCCGGGAAGGTGCCCTGGGCATAGTGTCAGCTCGGGCTTGCTCAGACTCATGTTCAGAGAGGGCAGTGGGAAGGGGCCAGGACCCCCTGGCTCTGGGACCCCGAGGCTTGGTGTCCGTAGCCCACCGAATGCCAGGTGGTGATGGCATAACACAACACCTGCTGCTGGGCCCGCCCTCCTGGGTACAGAAGGGTGGGTGTATGTCAAAGTAGGTAAATGCTTCTATTTTCAAACACTGTCAACTGTGCACAACAGTCATCAGCCCACACAGCAATCGGCCTGCAGCTCTGAGACACTCGAAAGAGCATGGCTTTCTCCCCCTCTCCCTCCCCCTCCGAGGGACCCTCTGCTTTCCTTGCCTTCTGTCACCTCACCCCCAGCCCTGAGCCAGGCCCCCCAGCAGCAATGCTAGGGGATGAAGGGAGTGGGGGGTGAGCCCTCCTCCAGGCTGGGTCTTAGGCTCCCCGGGAGCTGCCATCCTGAGTGGCCCATGAATGCTGGAACTTTCCAGACCTCTGGAGATGGAGCAACTGCTTGTCCCATTCAAAAACCTCACACGTCCCCACCGAATTATCTTTTCGAGATCACCGTGGGAACGGAATTCAAGTAGTTAAGTTTAGGCTGAGGTGCTAACCACACACTTCGGCAGGAGATGCCACTCTGCCAGTGGATCTTATGCAAGAAGCAAGGGGTTTCAGAGATGGCGGGGATGGACAAAGAGGCCCTTGCCCACCCATCTCCACCTCAGCATAGGCTTTCAGAAGAGGAGGGGGACCAAGTGCATGCAGAGCTGGCGCCACCTGGGAACTCAGGGCTTCCTCTGGGCCATGTCCTGTGTGCTACCCTCTCACACTGATATGGTCAAGGTGACCACGGTAGAAAAACCACACAGTCCCTGCGTGGGATCCCTTCGCAGCCCAGGGGCAGGAGGGGCTGTTTCTGGCTGGAGCAAGCATTGAACAGGATGTAGGTTCAGGCTCATCCTATCAAGCTAGGGGGGCTGCTCGCCATAGACTGTGGGGAAGGGACACCTCCCAGTCCAGCACCACCGCTGCTTGCACCCGAGGAGGGAGAAGGCTGGCGGGAGGACAAAGTAAGCACGGAGCTGGGGAGAGGTTAAAGGTTACTGGCTGGTTAGCTGGTGTCACTGGCGCTGCAGGAACCGCAGGGCAGGGCAGGGCTGCGCTGGCAGGAAGTGGCAGGGTGGGGCCCGTGTGCTCCCCTCTCTGAGGCGGCCCAGGCCCAATCACTGACACCCACACAGCCGTTTCCTGCACTTGAAAAAAAAAATCTGTTTCTCTCTTTGCAAATCAACAACTTTTACCTAGAAACTCTTCAGCGGTGAGCTCTGACTGATCTCGACCTCCGGTCCGTTGCAGAAAATACACCGTTGTTTACCTGGGGGAGGTGTGCGCACGCCCTGACTATAACTGACAGGTTTCGGGGTGCCTGCCCGGCTGTTTTGAATCTACTTTGAAAGAAACCTGTTCCCTGGGCCCCAAACAGGCACCTGCTGGTTATTTAATACCTTGACAGATCTTTCTAGAAAAGATGTGTGAGCTCCATGCACACAGCAGCAGACGGCCCTGGGTGAGCATGCTGTCCGCCGTGGACGGAGGACCGCCTCCAGGAGGCTCCTGCACGGAGGGCCCCTGATGAGCGACTGTGGGCCAATGGGCATGTCACGACAGGGGTTAGCTGTGTCAATCAGATGTCAATGGAGGGCTTCTAGGACACGGGATAGCACCAAGAGCCTTGTGTGACTCAGACCTGTGTGGCGGATGACTGAGGGGACCATGGAGCTGCCTCTGTCTATCCCAGACAGGGGCCTCTAGCCGGGGCCTGGGTCCCTGTCCTTGTACCTCAGAGATGGTAGGGATGCAGGTCACACACAGCCTATTGCTATACAAAACCACTGTCCCCACACGCCCACCTCCTGGGCCTCAACTGGTCCCACGTTCAGGGAAGGAACCTGAGGCTTGTCGAGGTGCAAATAAGGGCCCGGGGCCCCTCGTGACATGGGGCCTGGACTCCAGCGTTCAGAACCATCCTGACAGAGCAGACCCTGGGTTCTAGTGGGATGAGTGGCCCAGTGGCCAGAGGGAAGCAGCCACTTCTAGGCACAAAGCCCAAGCACTGGCACCCTGAGGTCTGAGAGAGGGTGACCAGGTGAAGGCGGCCATCCCTGGGCTGCTCACATGGGTTCCCCCAGTGGGAAAAGGGTGAGAAGGGCAGGAAAATGCATTTATTACTTGTCAAACTTTAGGTTTTCTTTAAAAAAATAAGTCAGACTGCAATCAGCTGCTTCTACCTCAAAGTAGCCAAGGGGACAGGAGATAAGCCTGTGTCCCCCACAAGTTCTCGGAGACTTTATGTGGCCCTCCTGTGTGACCAGGAAGTTGGAAGAAGACACTCAGAGTGGCCTCATGTCCCTGGATCAGGGATCCAGCACGGAGAGAGCCCCTTCCTCTGCATTCCCACAAAGGCCAAATGGTTCCCCGTCAAACATGACTTCTGACCAGGTCAAGTGCGGGCCCCGGGCTGTGTGTGGTGCAAAGGCTTGGCGGGCGGCGGGCGGACTGTTAGAGGTTAATAGGAAACCAGGCGGGAAGCTCCCACGGCAGCGGCACACGCCCCGTACCTACCACCCAGCAGTGTGTACAGCGCACAGGGCTTCTGTCCAGGCACTGCTTCTGGGGAAGAGAACCAAAGGAGAGAGGCTCAGGTCGCACGGACACCCTGCAACGCTCACGATGAACCCACTTCGTGCCTGGACGCTTGGCAGAGAACTTGGGACCTCCTGGAACCGGTTCTGACGACTGCTACTTATGGGAGCAAGGGGTGGGGGGCCGGGCAGGGGACAGGTTGCCAGCAGTAGACCTGGCCCTGCTGCCACCTCGCTGCATGGGCTTGGGCAGCCCACATGACCTCTTGTGGTACATGGGCACCGTGCCTGCCCTGTCTCTCACGGGTCTTGCCTGATCAATGAGATAAGGGCTGTGCAGAGGCTCCCAAGGGTGGTGCAGGGCCTGCAGGTGCTCTGAGGCCTCACCAGCGCTGGCAGGGCTCAGGCCCAGGCCCAGCAGAACAAGAGTGGGCTTCCCCGAGCCACAGGCAAAGGCAGCCCAGGACCTGGGGTCAACTCTGAAGCCAGGTACAAGAGCAAGGGAAACCTAGTCACCGGGCAGTAACTTTTCACAAGAGTTCACTTTCTAAGCCTGCTGTATGCTAGAAGCAGAAACCAAAATGGGCAAGGAGTATGCAGAGGGAGACACGGGGGAGGTGAGGGCAGAGGGAAAGTTCAAAGCGGCCCAGTGCTAGCTGCAGGCACGTGGGCACTGGCAGTTTCCATAAACACTGACAGTGAAGCTTTGCACCTGCTGGTACCGAGGGGTCAGCTTCCCGAGGGCTCGGCAAGCAGGACACCATTGTGCATGCATGTGCGTGCATGTGAGCATCCACGCCGTGCAAAGTGCACGTGGCGGTTTTGTGTGCATGCACGTGTGTGCACCATGTGAGCAGTGTGTGAAGGCAGGCTCACCTGGTGCATGTGCACAGCAGCACGTCATGAGCTCCCTGCGGACCCCTATCCGTGAAATGGTGCATGGGAGCAGGACCTGTGTTTACTGAGAGTGCGTGTGCACACGCTCACGTGTGTGCAGGTGTGTGTGTGTGTGTGTGTGTGTGTGTGTGCGTGCGTGCGTGCAGGCAGACCTCTGTTTCCGTATTTTGGGCAGAGGGAGGAGGTCGAGGGCCCTGGGAGCTGAGCTGCTGCCTGGGACTGGGGGCAAGGGCCTCTCATGGCACGGTGCCCCCGCTGCTGTTGACTGCAAAGACCTCTCCTGTGCAGCTTAGGAAATCAGGCCTCTACCACCTGCCGTGCCGCGGCCCACAAAGAGCCCACTCCAAGCCCTGTGGCCTGCTGGGTACTTTCCCTCCACCCTCAACCCTGTGCTCCTGACATCAGTGACAGGAGGGGAGGGGCAGCCTTTTCAAAATGATTCCCCGTCTGTCTCTCCCGACAGGTGCCACATGGAGGAAGCCTGGCTGGCTGAGGAGCAGGAGTAACCTGGGGTCCTGTGGAGCCCCAAGGGACAGTTTCAGGGGGAAAGCCAAGCTTGGGTAGGAAGGGGATCTCCCCCTACACCCTGCCATGCAGTGACAGTGAGGCTGGGGGAGGAGGCGCAGGGTGGGGACAGGGAGGACCTGCCCTGTCTAGGGACAGCCTGGTACAGAGGCATGACCAGAGGTGTGACAATGGCAGCAAGTGTGCTTTCCCAAGGCCCCCACAACCAGAGACAGAGCAGGGAGACTCTCCCTGGAGAACAGCAGAGCTTTCCCAGCCCACGAGGGGGTGGACAGCAGGAGGCCCTTCTGACACTGGAACAATGGCCTGTGTTTTAGGGTCTAGAAATGCGACCTGCAGCCTGACTGTCACACAGAGAGCACCTCACTCAGGAGTCACTAGGTCTCAGAATCCATCCCTGGGGACATGGTGGGGTGCTCCAAAGCAGGCCCAGGCCTGAGCCCTGGAGACAGCAGCAGCGTGCGTGGCCGGGAAGCCAGGCAAAGCCGGCAGGAAGGCCATCCTCGGAGCACTTGCCCAGAGGCCATGGTAAGCCAGGGGCAGGGGAAGCCCAAACCATCCTGCTCCTCTCACATCCCACAAAGACAAGGGAGCCCCTGCTGCACCCCAAGCTCCTGACCAGCAGAGACAGGCTGCACGGAGTCGGCCTGGCCTCAGCCACCGTCTCCTTCCCTGAGCCAACATGGGAAGAGTGCCTCTGGGAGGGGAAGAGGCCGTGGGGCCCTGGGGCTACTGGGCCGCAGTGGCCCTGACACCCACTGACAGCCTCAGGTGCAAGGAGCCCTCCAGCCATAAGGAGGGCTCCTGTATGGACCCAGCACAGCCTGGAGACAAGGGGCCCACAGGCCGGGGCAAGGGCAGGGGCCGTGCTCACTTGGAGGGGCCCATGGTCAGGCACGGGGGACGCCCTCCTGTCCGAGGGGCCTGCTCTACTCTGCTGGTGAGGGAGGGGCCCCACATCCCGCCGCCCTGGCTGCGAGAGAAGAACGCGTACTGACCGCTGGGCGGTTTAGGCCGAGGAGGAGCGGGCTTCTTTGGAGGCAGAGCAGGAGTGTCCTGTTTACTTTGAAAGGGGTCATCTGAGAATGCTGCACCTCCCAAGGAGGAGGAGAAAGGGCCAGAAGGTGGGGGCTGCAAGAGAGGACACGAAAGAGAGGTAATAGTCAATCAAGTGTAGCCAACCCACGTCCACCGAGCCACCGCACTTTACACAGCCCTGGCCAGACCGCCAACCCTCCGGACCACGTGCTCAGACCTGGGGGGTCACTCTTAAGCCACTGCTTGCCTCCACCCTCAATAGCCAGCCCTGTGGCCACAAACATGCAGGGCAGCAGAGAGCAGTGCATCCCTGGGCAGGCTCACAACCCACCAGGGGTCTTTCCCAACTCCTGGACTCCAGATGCGTGAGAGGGGTTGGGGCTTCCCAGGTTGGGGAAGCCACTGTCTGTGGGGGAGTGAGAAGCACTTTGTTGTGTGAGACAGGGTCTCGCTATGTGGCCCAGGATAGCCTTGACCTCACGATCCTCCCGCCTCAGCCTCTGAGGCGCTGGGGGGTGAGGCCCCAGGAGATGGGGAAGAGAGAAGAGCCACGGCACACTCTAACTCCTCTGTGAGGCAGACCCACGGGCAGAAACAGCCTCACAAGGAGCACCAGCGAGGCTCTCACAGCCCCAGCCACATGCACAAAAGCGGGGAGAAGGGCCAGCCCCGCCCCAGCATCCAGCCACGAAGGCACAGCCGCCTCAGACCCCGGCATCTCTCACAGGGACATGGCCACCTCAGTCCCCAGCGTCTAGTCACCTCAGCCACATCTAGTCACAGGGACAGGGCCACCTTGACCCCAGCATCTAGTCAAGAGACACGGCTGCCTCAGCCCCCAGCGTCTAGTCACAGGGACAAGACCACCTTAGTTCCCAGTGTCTGTTCACAGGGACAGGGCCGCCTCGGCCTCTGGTGTCTAGTCACAGGGACGCAGCCACCTTGACGTGCAGCGACAGAGACATGGCTGCCCAGACCGCATAGCTGTGTCAGAGTTGGATTGAGGATGGCACCGTTCCCATGGCAGTGGTCCCTACCATTCTCAGAACCCCCAGCAGGAGAGTGGCAGGGCTCAGGGAGAGGCTGGAGCAGCTCCTGCACCCACTGCAAACCCAGCTGGCCCCTTCCTGGGTTCCACCCAGCGCTCTGGAGCCACAGAGTCAGGGGACACCATTCTGTGCTCATCCGCTCCGCTCTTCTTCCCAGGGTGTCATACTGCCACCACTCCCATACACGTAAGGAAACAGGTGCAGAAAAGCGACATGGCCTGCCCAGACCGCTCCGCGGGTCAGTGTAGGCCGGGCTGGAGCCTGCGCCTTCTACCCTGGCTGTGGCTCCTGGGCACTGGCCTGAGCTCCCCATGGCCCAAGGGCAATGTCGGGCCACATTCTGGGCAGACTGTCCCCATCCGCAGGCTCCTGGAGGAGGCCTTGTGGACACGGACAAGAGACAGCAGCTGAGAGATGACATTGGGAGAAGGGGCAGAGCAAGGGCCTCTTTGTAAAGAAAATGGGGGTCTGAAACCCTCACGCTCACTTTCCCACCAGGCTCACGAGGGCCTTGGGGGTGCAACTTGCCATGTCTCCCCCTCAGGGCGAGCCCCTGGCTGTGGGGAGGCCCGAGCTGGCTCCCTGATGACCAAGGGCAGCCTTCCTACCCACTGGGTCACACAACAGGGCCTGCAGAGCGCTCAGCCCAGACTGCATAAATGCTGATGTTCACAGACTGAAGCCAGTGCTGCCTGAGCCCCTGGCCGGCTCCCTCCTGGGTGGAAACCCCCTGAGCCAATCAGCTCCCGCCAAGGTGACAGGCTCCGCCCACCACAGCCTGGCTCCTGCAACAGTGAGCTAAACCCTGGCGTGCGTCACTTCCCAGCACGGCTTTCCTGGTTCCTGGCTTCCCAAGGAGTCTCCTGGGACAACTCCTTCCTCCTCAGGCAGGGCTTCAAGGAAAGTCGCTATTTTTAGAAGGGGTTCGTAGCCTGGGTAGCTCTGGCAAGAGTGAGGTGTGCCTCAAGTGCAAAAGGAGAGAGACGCGCCACTGTGCAGAGTGGCTTTGACCACAGCCCCCCTTCAGGACTGGCTCCCGGTCAGGGCTCTCTAACCTGTAAAGCAGGGGCTCTGAAAACACCTTCAGAGGCTGGAGTGCAGCCCAGTGGGGGTGCAGTCCAGTGGTGAGTGCTTGCATGGGCCCTGGGTTCATCCCCAGCGCCACACCCACACATTGAAAAGTCACTAAAAATGGCTCAACAACCAACCAAGTATTTCACAGCTGGCTTTTTTTGGGTGTGGGTGGGGAAGAGGGGGATGAGCTGAGTGCAACTCTTATTTTTATTCCCCAATGTTCTGAAGACATATTTCCGGGAACTTGCTCAATCTCTTTTCTTTGTGGTGCTGAGGACAGAACCCAGGGCACCCTGCACACGGGCGAGTGCTCACCACCGAGCTGCACCCCAGCCCTGAATGTGCTTTTCAAGCAACCTAACGTCACTGAGGATCGATACTGCCTAGAAAAATTCCTTTGGGTGGGGATGGGGGCTCAACAAAGGAACCAGCTGGCACCCCAGCAAGAGTGCTGGCTGGCTGTCACTTTCTGCACACAGAACACTTGGATTTAGGGCAATGAGAAAGCAACCCCACCCCCAACGTGCATTTGTGCCCAATTCCCCACCCTGCTCAGGTGGAGCAGAGCTGGGGATGTTTTAAAAAAAGAAAAAAAAAGAAAGCTAAGAAAAAAAAAAAACCCTTCTTACAAGCCACTCTCCTTTCACTTCCCCCTGCATTTTATTTATACACCTGATGTTGTTCTTGAAAACCAAAAGGGAAAAACAGAACTCTGGGGTCAGGACTGAGCTCCTGTTTACGAGACACGAAATCAGGGCTCACAGATGCTGGAAACAAAACAACACAGGATTGCAGGGCAATTTTCCACGGCTGTGTGACTCCGCCCTGGCCAGGCGAGAGCAGGAAGTGACCGGCTCTGAAATCACGTGCACGTGTGGGGACAGCCTGCTCCCAGACACTGGGCATTTGGATGGGACCTGGAGAGGAAGTTCGGGAGAAGGGGAGGACGTGACTATAGGGAAAGAGCAGAGACGGGAGGGTCCAGCTCAGGAGTCCACTGAGGCAGCCCCAATGTCTGTCCATAAGGTCGGGAGCACTGTGGGCGGGATGCTCTGCCCGAGCCCGCTGTACCTCCCACTCACAGGGGCATCGGTGTGGCCAGTTGTTGAAGCAGGGTTGTCACCATGCAAAGCAGCCTCAGCCTGCAGGAGGCCCTGGACCACAGTCTTGCTCGGGCCACTGCTAGTGCTCACTTGCTGGACTGACACCTCACCTAACAGCCCTCGGGAGAGGATCCCAAGTCTCCCCACTCAGCCCCAGCCTGAGACAACCTGGATCCTTCCTGTGGGGTTGCTGCCACCATGTGGCAGAGACCTTTTCCCACCGCCTCAGGAGCAGAGGTGTAACAGCCACTAAGTGATAGGCTCTGAGACTCCTGCACTGCCAGCCAGCCACAGGGTCACATCCCCTCCTGGTACCAAAAGGGCGCCCGTGGCTTGTCCCATGTTTAACAGGCTCTGCCCCAGCCGGCCTGGTGACACTCAGATGCTTCTCTGAGAACCTGAGAAGCCCTGCGTTGTGGTCACCCAGTGCTGCAGCTGCCCACCACGGCTGTGGGCACCAGAGCACAGAGCCAGCAGGAAGGACACCTGGGGCTGGCGTGGGGGCTCAGGACCCTCGCCTGGGGGCGGCTCCTCCACGCAGGGCTGGCCCTCCCTGTCCCCGGGCTGAACAACACAAGCAACAACCACTCACAGAGCTCTCACCTTGCCTCAGGTGCTCTATGTCACTGAGGGAGGGTGACAGTCTATGGAGGACATGCGTAGCACTACGGGTGATGCCACACCATGTTACACACGGGCATCCAGGGGTTCTGCCATCTGGGGGCCTGGAGCCATCCGTGGACACTGAGGCACACCTGTCCCCCAGGCTCCCTCCCACCACCACCTTCAGGTGGGTAGTGGTGCCAGACCACAGGACCGGCTGCTCTGGGTGACGCCCACCCTGCCAACTGGCTCGTGTGTCCCATCAGTGCTCATGACACCTGGTCCCTGGTCAAACTCTGCGGGACACTTGAAGCACACAGGGACATGCGGCAGTGAGGCTGCAGCGGCTGGGGCAGCCTGAGGGAGCGGAGTGGCCGCAGGGCCAGGGGCTGGGTGGGCCCACTTAACACTGTCTTCCTTAATTCTTGCCAAAGACACACTCGCCACCAGAACCCAGGCACCCCGACACGTGCCTCACGCCCTTCCCCTAGGCCATTTCCCATGGTTCAGCAGTTTCCTCTGGAGCTCACCTCAGTAAGAATGGCTGCTACTGCTACTTCCTGACCTGTCCCCTCGACACTGTCCACAGATAACTTGTCGCCACACTCCGGACTCGGCTCCGTAACACTCCAACGGGGTCTGCCACCACTAGGGCCACATGGGCAGGTTGTGGCATTGTGCTTATGACTCAGAGCGGACACTGTCTGGCCCCACCATGCATGGCCCAGAATGTATGGCTATTGTCACCTGGGTGTTCACCGTCTTTTATTCACTGAGCCCAGCCCCCACTTCCCAACACCCCAGTGAGTCCGTCTTGGCGGCTCCAGACCCCTAGCCTGACCTCCAGGAGCTATGCACCTAACGCATCCCAACTTTCTGTCACCACAGAGGTGATGACATCATCACCTGGGATCTGACAGCCACCGCACACTGGTGGAGCAGGACGGCCATGGTGCCGTCACGGGGGGATCCACACCACATGAGGAAGAGACATACTGGAGCCCAGCCCTGGGTGTGGTCCAGGCCTGTCCACGTACAGGTGACATTAAGTTAGGCAGCAGGGTGAGGCGTGAGAATGCGTGGGCTCAGCCTTACCTTGGACATCTGGCTGAAGTCCGCAAAGCCCTCGGCACTGTTGAATGACCCGCTTCCGAAAGGGTCCAGTGTCCCAAACGGATCTGGAATAGCACCGACAGAGCCAGGGTTACAGGTCTGGGATAGAGTGGGCCTCTGGGAGGTCAGTGGCCCACAGTGACCAAAGGGGCAACACGTTCCAGGGTTACAGCCTACTGTTCTGCTGGGCTGGGAGGGGCGTGTGCGAGGGGGGTGGGGACGCAGCTTGAGGGTACCCCTCAGGCCTGCCAGCGTGTGGAGGAGGGGATGCTGCAGAGTTTGTTTCTTTTTGAGCCGGGGTCTCATGGGGCCACCTTGGCTGCTTGGACTCCTGGGCTCGAACAATGCTCCCACCTCACCCTCCAAGTCCTAGGGCTATCAGCATGTACCACTGTGCCTGGCCCAAGGACAGGTTTTTCCTGTGAGCCCCAAGTGATCTGCCTATGGTACAGGCCTTGCCACCTATGTGCCAGACCTGCCTAAGGAGCACGGGGAGCTGCTGATGGATGGGCCATGTGGGGCTGTGCCCAAAAGGAAGCGGCCCAGAAGGGAGGGAGCACAGCTGGTGGCTTTGATGCTGTGAGCTCAGGCCCTTCTGACTCAACAACCTATGGCACAGCCAGTCTGAGTCAAACTGGGGACTCTAGGAAAGCCATGGGACCCGAGTGAAGGCTCTGCAGGATGGGTGCAGGTGACGAGCACTGGCTTCCTTGCAGAAGGACAGGTGCTGCTCCACTCTGCTCTAGAAGATGGGCACTCGGCACTCGCTGTGGCCTCAACGTGGTGGGCAGGGCCTGAGGCCCCTGAGCAATGCCATGCACCTGAGGACACGAGGCTTGGGGAAGGACGGCATTAAGTGGATGAGCTCCCTTCCACGCAGGAACGGTCAGGAAAGACCTAAGCCCGTCTCACCTGATCCTTTCGAGGAGGCACCAGAGGACGAAAATGGGTCGCTGGACTCAAAGGGGTCGAGCTGGTGGGAGAAGAGAAGAGAGGAGGTTGTCTGAGGTCCCTCCACCTCACCTATGCTGTGTGTCTCTGGAAAGAATGAAGGCTGAGGACAGTCACACCGTGGGAAGTGGGAACTTGGGAGGGAGGGGACGGGGAGACCTGGGTTCCCTCTGCCCAGTGCAGTATGGACAGACTCAAAGCAGTCCCTATACTGGAATGAGACCTGAGTTCTGCCCACCGCAGGGAGACAGTGGCGTGGCCTCACTGTCTCAAGTTGGTTACTCCGGTTACTTGGGAGATAGGGTCTCGCAGTTTACCCAGCCAGCCTGGATTGTGATCTTCCTATTGCTTTGCTCCCTGCAGTACTAGGTGACAGGCATAAGCCACTGCACCCAGCTGTTTATTGAGATGAGGTCTCACAAGGTTTTTACTCAGGCTGGACTCAAACTCATCTCAGCCTCGCAAGTACCTAGGATTATAGAGGTAAGTCGCCAACACCTGAATTTTTTTTTTTTTTTTTTTAATGCAGGATCTTGCCAAGTAGCTTGGCTTGCCTCAAAACTTTTGACCCTCCTCCTTGGCCTCCTGAGTGCTGGGATTACAGCCATGCACCACCATGCCCAGTAGAAATAATATAAAAGAAACAAATGGGGGCTTTAGAACTGAAAAGTGTTGTATACATAACAAAAACTTCCCTTGGTTAGCTACCCAACGCGAAAAAGCAAGTGAATAAAAAGATAAATCAGTAGAAACTATACTTCCTACTTCCTGTGCTTGCTTCGGCAGCACATATACTAAAATTGGAATGATACAGAGAAGATTAGCACGGCCCCTGTGCGAGGATGACACGCAAATTCGTGAAGCGTTCCATGTTTTTTAAAAAAAAAAAGAAACTCTACTTTCTGAGGAAAAAGAGTAGAAAAAAAAAGGACTCGGGGAGGGCGTGGCTAAGTGGTGAGTGTTTACCCGGCACAAGGCCCTGGGCTCAATCCCTGCACTGCAAAAAAAAAAGAAGGAAGATGTAGCACCTCAGAGACTTGAGGGACAATTGCAGAAGGCCTAAATCTGTGCATGTGGAACCCCAGGAAAAGGAGAGGGAAAATAGGGCAGAAAAAAATTCAAATAACTAAAGGCTGGAAACTTGCCACAGTGGGCAAGAAACATCACTTACAGATTCTTCCTGACCTGAACAGGTTAAATACAAAGAAAACGACACCCAGATACTCGTCAGACTACTGAAAATCCAGGACAAAGTGACCGGGACGCGAGTCCTCAAGACAGATGACTTCTGTCCAGGACAACAGAGGCTGGCAGACAGTGAAGCCACACCCTAGGAGACTGCAGTGATGAATGGGTGCAGTAGGGGCACCCTCCCTGCAGGGTGATGGTGATGCCAGGGCTGGGCTACCCAGCGGGTGCCAGGCCCCAGGCCCCGGCTTCCAGCCCTACAGCCGCAGGACAGAATGTGACACAGTGGAAGGCTATGAGGGGAACACGGGTCCTTCAGGCTGAAGGCAGATGACGCTGGAGGGAGACGTGAGCTCAAAGGAACGAGGCGCTGTTAGAGGTGTTAACAGCGGGCTGGGTGTGGCTTGAGACATACAGCATGTGCCAGACAAACACAAGTCCCCAAGTTCAAACCCCAGGACCCCAAACTGCAGGATAAAAGAGAAATGGTAAATACTTGGGAAACTGAAAGGCTACCTTCTTCCTCTGCCTTTCTTTAAAATACACATAATGGGCTAAAGCAAAAATGATGGTGGTGCTTTAATGAGTTCAGAGTGTATTAACATATGACCTCCGTATGTCAGCCATGGACAAAAGGACCTGTGTGAGTGGCTGTGGAGTCTCTTGCGTACACGTGAAGTGACACCATTGAAATGCCAGCTGCACGTGGTAATGGCCCTAAAGTAACCTTTCTAAAAATATTTAAAGTAACTAACAGGCCGATAGGCAGAATCAGAGGGAGCGACAGAAAATACACAGATGATGCAAAAGATGGCAACGTGGTTTGGATGAGCGTCCTCCAGAAGCCCAGATGTTGAAGCGGGTCCCCAGACCTGGTGCTCCTAAAGCTGCTTGAGCCTTTAGGAGGCGGGGCCTAGCAGAGGAAGTTATGCCGCTGGGGTCGTGGCGACTTGGCCCCTTCTCAGCTTTGCTTTCTGGCTACAAGGAGGTGAACAGGCTTCCTCCACCACGAGTGCCACCGTGATGCACTGCACTGCCACCAGTCCAAAGCAACAGGGCAGAAGTCATGACCAGATACCAGGAGCCAAACAAACTTTCCTCCTTCTAAGACGGTTATCTCAGGCACTGTCACAGTGATGGAAAGCCAACAGACAGCAGGAAAAGGAAACAGACAGCAAAACAGGAGAATAAAAAGCACACAGATAATCAAATCCTACACTCATTGCCAACTGTATTATTATTGCAGTAAGTGGTAATGGATGAGACGCTCTGAGTACAAGGAAGAGACTTCTAAAAAACATAAAAAAAAAATAACGATATGCTGGTTACACAAGACACCCTTCAAACATTAAGACTGGGGTAGATGGAAAGACGATGGCTGAGACAAGATGTACCGGGCAGAGCGTAAACATGAAGGGGATTGTCTGGTAAAACAGATTTTAAGACAACATCACCAAAGTTCAAGACACAGCCACGGTGAACGTGCGTGCTCTGACGGAGCTCTGACTGGAGAGGCACAGATGCTTCACAGCCCCCAGCCACCGGCAGAGCCAAGCAGCGAGCGACAAAGGCACGGACTCCTCTCTAGGGTGGGTGGTGCGGTTACCATACTGACACGGTGAGTCTAGAGGACTCTGACTGAAAACGTATACACCCAACATGTGCCCCCAAAAGCCCCAGCTTTGATCCCCAGTGCCACAAAAGAAAAAGATGATTTAAACAGAGTGGGCCCGGCCCCTCCCCAGCCTCTCGCTTCCTTGCTTGCACATGTGACCCTCTACCCGCGACTGTTTCCTTCTGCTTCTCCACCATGTTGTGATGCAGCAGAGGCCCTTGCCGGAGCAGTCGCCTGATCCAGCCTCTGGAACCTGAATCACATGAACCTCTTTGCTTTATGAAGTACCCAGCCTGGGTTGTTTTGTTACAGTAACAGGAAACACCCACTAAGGCAGCCTGACTCCAGATGTCACCAGCAGGACTAGAGAGATCCCATGTTGAATGGCGGAAGATGGACTGGTCTGTGTGGATCCGTAGTGTTTGTCTGTTTTGAAATGGGATCTTGCTGTGTGGCCCAGGATGGCCTTGAACTCCTGGGCCCAAGCGGTCTTCCTGCCTCAGCCTCCCAGTGCTGAGAGTATAGACATGTATCACTGTGTGTGTTCTGTTTTTCTTGGGAGATGGCATGGCATGGGGGCAGATGACCAGAGCAGAGGAGGGACAGAGGAACAAGAGATGTCTGAAGACTCAGGGCCCTGGGCAGCTGGGCCGTGGCACCAGCTCCTGGAGAACTTGGCCAGCCTCACAGAGTCACAGAGGCCCACTCCCCAGGGAGGGAGCTGTCAGCACACACAAGCTTCACACAGGCCAGGAGACTTGAGCCTGCCCCGCCACTCACCTTGGAAGGTAGGGAAGGGTTTTTTGTGAATGGGTCTGAGGTAAACGGGTCGTTCTTCGTCTGTTTCTTGAAGAAGTCGTCAGTGGCAGAGCCGCGGAATGGGTCACTTTCTTTGAAAGGGTCTCCTCCGAATGGATCTGAAGGGATAGGAAAAACGCCCATGGGTTATGGCGACCGTGAGGAGAGCCCACCAGGAGACACACACAACAGAGCAACGCCGTGCACAGTGACAGAGCAGGTGAAGGTGGTGCAGGGAGTCTGGCGGGAGCCATGGAAGAGGGACATGAGGGACCTTTCGGGGTGATGGAAATGTTCACTAATCCCACACAACTCTGAGCTTGCCAAAACGCTTTCTTTTTTTTTTTTTTGGCAGCACTGGAGTTTGAATTTAGGGCCTCACACTTGCTAGCAGGTGCTCTACCACTTGAAGAACCACTCTACCAGTCCTTTTTTACTTTAGTTATTTTTTGGGTGGGGTCTTTTGTTTTTGCCCAGGGCTCCCTGGATGGTGACCCTGCTCCCTATACCTCCCCAATATCTGGGATTACAGATGCACACTAGTACACCCAACTTATTTGTTGAGATGGTGTCTCACTATCTCTTCCCCCGGCTGGCCTGGTACTGATCAGCATTATCTTTGCTTCCTGAGTACCTGAGATTAGAGGCATGTACCACTGCACTTGGCAAAATTCATTTTAACACCCAAGTATCTCTCAGCATCCGTGGGGATCGGCTCCAGGACCCCCACAAATACAAATCCAGAGATGCCCAGGCCCTTCTGTGCCAGGGCATAGCATGGCACAGATGTGATGCACGCCCTCCCTAGACTTTAAGTCACGTCTTGGCGTAGAGCGCCTCACGTGTACACGCTGTGCACAGCTGTCCGACTGCGTCATTCACTCAGAGAAGAAAGGCAAGAGGACACGATCAGTGCGTGCTCAGTACAGGCACAATTCCTCCTTGTTACTTTCTAGCTGAGCTCGGTGGACCTGTAGATACAGAATCCACAGGAAGGAATGCCAAGAGTACGTTTAAAACTGGCGAATTTTGTTGTGTAAATTACACCTCTCAGTAAAGCTGATTTAAAAAATTGCTATAAAGCAATGTGGTCAGATCCACAGGACGGGGAGTGGACCCGTGGCTGCCAGATGCTGGAAGGGGTGGGGCACGCAGGCTGTTTCAGGGGACAGAATGTTCTGGAAGCAGACAGGTGATGGTCGCAAATACCACAGAGCTGTGTACTCTCAGAGGGGGAGAAAAAGAGAATGAATAAATGAATGAGTAAATAAATGAGCAAGCAAGCAGGCAGCGTGACCCAACACCAGCACGCCCATGTTCCCCTGGGTGCCCTTTCAGGAGGAGGTGAGACCCCAGGCTATGCGTGATGCGGATGGTCCCCATTCAGTCCATACGGCCACCCTCGCAGTCTGTGTGGCCTTAAATCTCACCGTGTGCAGGAGGTACAGGGGACATGGGCGACTGTGGCACAGTGGCCGTGGTGCTTCCTCCGTGTCCTGTGTGTCACCACCATGAAACCAGCAAGCAGTGCAGAAGGCCATTCCTGCATTCTGCTCCCCACCCGGGGCCAGGCCTAGGGACAGCTAGGGACTCCTACCTGTTGCCACTGTCTGCTGCTCAGCAAAGGGGTCATTCTGGAACGGGTCACCTGCACGGGAGAAAGGCACTTAGCTCTACATCAGGGGAGGTGGCAGAACGGCTAGGAACAGCTCACCAGCACACAGCTGTCACCTGCCTCCCCTCTCACGGGAAGGCGTGACCTCGCCCGCTGCGCCCACCCAGCGTTCTGGTGTAGGATTGTATGGGTGTGGCCTTGCCTCAGGGGGGACTTTGCTTAACCATTTAAGATGGGACAGGCCAGAGGCCGGGAAACCCACGCTTTCTCTATGCCACCGTCCTGTTATCTCTGCCCCCCACCTCGCTCGGTAAGAGGGGACAAGGCTGAGAAGGGCACTGTTGAGCTCTGGGATCTGCCCAATCCAATGCTCAGACCTGAGATGCTCCCAAGCCTATCTGAGACCCAAAGGGACTCCCACACATGACCCTCCTCCTGGGGACGCACACATGGCCCTCCCAGGAGGACAGCGAGGCTCAGAGAAATGGAGAGGCAGGAAATGTAGGGTCTGGAATCTGTCACTATTTTTTTTTTTGTGGTACTGGGATTTGAACTCAGGGCCTCACGCTTGCTAGGCAGGTGCTCTACCATTTGAGCCACGTCACCTGTCCTTTTTCGCTTTGGTTATTTGAAGATAGGGTCTCTCATCTTTTGCCTGGGCCACCCGAACCACAATCCTCCTGAACCACAATCCTGACCTCAGCCTCTGGAATGGCCAGGATTACAGGAGTGAGCCATTGTGCCCGGCTGTCTGTTGCCCTGACTCTCAGGCAGCTCTGGGTAAGTGCAGAGGTGACATTTATGTGGGAACCCAGGGTATCCTGCTGTGTGCTGCTGTCCTGCCCCACTGAGAGGGGATAAGGACGCCTCCAGCCTACTGAGGAGAAGGAAGTCTTCCTGTCAGGCCACCCTGAGATGTGGGCACTGTACTGGGAGCCGGGAGCCCTGCCCACTCCACCTTTATGTGCCAGCAATTCAGCCATGGGAAGGCACGAAGTCCCAACAGATTAATCAGCCTGTGTCCCCCCCGACCAGCCCGTGCAGTTTGTCATTTGTGTGGGAAGCGGTACCTTTGAAGGGGTCGGCCCCTTTGAAGGGGTCGGACCTGAAGGGGTCCTCTGTCTGGAAGGGGTCCGTGTGTAGCTCTTGGCTGTCGTTGCTGAATAGCAAGGCTTTATTTTTGAAAGGATCATCCTAGAGCACCATGAAGAAACAGGACAGAGATTGTGTTATTTCTGATTTACTACGGGCCAAGCACAGAATTTTAACCTAAGCTCCATTTGCACTTGTCAAAAAAACCAGAATTACTTAGATAAAAAAATTACTTGGGTAAGGAAGGGGGTGGGGGAAGGAGGGAGAAATGACCCAAACATTGTACGCACATATGAATAAAAAAAAAAAAAAATCACTGAAGCTGGGACTTTAGTTACTAATCAATTTTGACACTGGTTCACACCACAGGAGATATGACTGGTACAGGAAAACAGGTGTGTGTGTGGAAACTCTGCATGGTCTCTGCAACTTTTTGATAAATCTAAAACGATTCTACAATAAAACCCAAATGTCTACTGACAGATGAACAAATAAACAAACGTGGTCCGTTCACACAATGGAATATTACTCAGCCAGAAAGAGGAAATCCCAACACATGCTACAACGGGGATGAGCTTTGAGGGCATTGCGCTGAGTGCAAATAAGCCAGTGAGGTCCCTAGCCATCACACTCAAGAGAGAGAGGAAGTGGAATGGCGGGTCCCAGGGGCTGGGGGAGGGGAGTGAGTGTTGAGTTGGGGGGACAGTTTCAGTTTGGGGAGATGGGACGGTTCTGGAGATGGGTGGCAGTGCTGACTGCACAACACTGTGAATGTCAATAGTGGGGCTGGTGGAGTGGCTCAGGTGGTAGAGCACCTGCCTAGTAAATGTGAGGCCCTGAATTCAAATTTCAGTACTGAAAAAAAAAGGTAGGCTGGAAACTCTTATGTTGTTTACTCAGCCTCCTGAATTACATCTTTTTATTTTTTACTTTTCTAAGAGCTAGATGTAGTGGCACACATCTGTAGTCCCAGCTACTTCAGAGGCTGAGGCAGGGTTGCTTGAGTCTGGCTCAAAAGAAAATTAAATCACTGCATCAGAAAAAAGTAACAGTTATGGGAAATGTCATAGGGAGATGTAAAGAGGCTCCCCAAACCATAGCACAGGCTTCAATCTGAGGTGTGATCTCCCCCCATCATCTGTTCTTTGGTTACCATCTACCTAGGGGGGTATTTAAAAAAGTTTGTTTTACAGGCCTGGTGGTACATGCCTGTAATCCCAGCACTTGGGAGGCAGAGACAGGAGGAGCTCAAGTTCTAGGCCAGCCTGGGCTGCACAGAAAGACCATGTCTCAAAAAAAAAAAAAGAAAAAGAACAAAAACATAATTTCTATACCAAGAAAGTGGCTGGTGGTCCCCACCCTGTGAGGAAAGGAGGACACACACGGTTAGAAGCACTGGAGTGCACAGGACACTTTGCATGTTTTGAAAGAAGGGTGCCTATTTCTAGACACGAGCAAGTGTATTCAAAGCAGCCAAGAAAAACATTTACTTCTGAAGAGATTTTCCTCCTGGACAGTGGCCGGGGCGGGAGGTGAGCAGTGACAGCTGGGAACTGTATCCTTTGCTCGATAAAGACATGCCCTCCATGAGCACAGTCCTGTCCACTGGGATGGTTTTGAAAAGCACACACTCCCTGAATTTGACAGGGACTCCTGTGTGGCTGACATACAGACCCACCAAGACCAAGTCTTTGATGAAGCAGAAAATTGTTTGGGACAATGACAGGGCTGATTTCACCCTGGGGGCCGACTCAGGGTTGCAGGATGGTCCCAGGGTGGGTGGTTGGGGGGACTGGGCTATGGGGGAAACCTGGGAGATGTGCTTACCTGGGATCCAGTCCCTGGAGCCCCTGCCTCCGACCACAGTGCATCCCCAGATGGAAACCAAGCCGGGTTCTGAGGCAAGTTACACACAGACACCCCCACGCACTGCCGTCTGGGGACAGCACTTGCTGAGTGTGGACATCAAGGTGCCTAAGACCATGAGCTGGGGTGTCCCACCAGTGTTTGTGGGATTCCTGGGCCTGAGGCACGTGGATGGACAAGCCCTGATCTAAGGTAGCCAGGGCTGGGTGTAAAGCAGTCCTCACCAGCTGTGCTATGGAGCGAGGGAGGACCTCGCTTCAGAAGACATACAGGACAAGGGTCTGGGATGAAGTGGTAACTGCAGGATGACAGGCTGGTCTCACAGGGAAGGTATTGAGGTGGGGTTGATTTACAAGTCTCAGGGTTTTGAGGGACAAATGCAAGACTGTGAACAGAACATGACGGTGCAGAAGAGACTGAGGTCATGGGAGCTGTGGCCGTGACCCCTGCGCTGACAGCCAGACCTTGCAGGAAATGTCTCGCCTGAGCAGCAGGGCCCCCTCCCCTTCAAAGGGGACCCTAGAAAGATGCTAGCAGGGAGGGCTCTGGGTGTAGGTCAATGACAGGGCACTGGACTGGCACACACAGCCCCAAAAGAGAAAAAGAAAGAAGACACAGCAGGTTTCACATCGCTGGGGTAAGTCAAAGGGGTTTTCATGCCATCTCGTGGACTCAGAGCTGAAGACTCGACTCGCCCGACAGTGAGGCACCATGGACTCTACCAAGCTCTGACAGAGAAGACTTGAGTGCGTGCTGACTTAGGGGACTGAGGGCAGTGGACAAGTTCTGTGCTGTGCTTAATGACGACGGGGACACTTAAGAAATACATCGTTGGGCAATTCTGTCATCAGACTAGGATGACTGTTTTATTTTGGGGCCGTGGACCCCAGGGCCTCGCACGTGCTAGGAAAGCGCGCTGGCACTGGGCCGCACCCCAGTTCCCGGGTAAGCTACCTTGAAGAGCAGGTGCGGCGGCCAGAGCTAAGCTCTGTCTTCTAGGAAGCAGACACGGCAAGTCTGGAAGGGTGCTGGAGGAGTTTCTGTGATATGGGCGGGCTAAGCTGGTCCCAGATGATAACCCAATCTGTCACGATGAGTTCTCAGTGACACTAAAGCCTGAGGTAATTTTTTTTTTTTTGATGGGACTGGGGTTTGAACTCAGGGCTTTGCACTTGCAAAGCAGGCGTTCCACCAGTTGAGCCACGCCTCCAGTCCATTTTGCTCTGGTTATTTTGGAGATGGGGGTCTCCTGATCTATTTGTCCGGGAGGGCTCAAACAGTGAACCACTGTGGCTGGTGATGATCTCTCTCTGCTAGACGGGTTGGCTGGGTATCCACTGAGACCTCAGCATTGTCACAACCAGATGAGAGACAAGAAATAAATATGGGTTTGAGCTGGGGGGTTACAGCTCAGGGGGAGAGCACTTGCCTAGCATGTATGAGGCTCTGGGTTCCATCCTAGCACTGCAAAAAAAAAAAAAACCCAAAAAAAACCACTAAATCAAAAAGTATAATTTTATGTTTAGCCGGGTGCCAGTGGCTCACACCTGTAATCCCAGGTACTCAGGAGACAGAGATCAGGAGGATCATGGTTCAAAGCCAGCTCGGGCAGACAGTTTGTGAGACCCTGTCTTGAAAATCCCTTCACAAATAAGGGCTGATGGAGTGGCTCAAGTGGTAGAGCGCCTGCCTAGCAAGCATGAGGCCCTGAGTTCAAATCCCAGTACCACCACCAAAAAAAAAAAAAAAGAATGCTATGTGTGTTGGACAAAGGCCCACTGTGAACAATGCACTCAGTGGCTTGAGTGCCGTCCATGGAAAGGTCCGGATGCCCCACTCTGGTTACACCATTGTCAAGGAGAGCTGACGAAGAGCACTCTCTACTCTGCTGGTCCCAAGACAGAGCAGTAAACAAAGCCCCTTTCCACAGTGTTTATTAAGAGACAAGAACAAGTCCCAGTGCTTAGATTGTATGAGGACAACAAGGCAAAGGCAGTTCTTTCAGACACCGTTGGGAGGTTCTGTGTAACACATCAGAGTGACTCTGGGTAAGCTTCACCACTTACAGAGGGACAAAAATAACAAGACAGATGAGGAACTCGGCAGGGGGACACCACTGGCCCTGTGAGAATTGTTACTTCACTCAACTTCCATTCGAGGACACAGATCTTATGAAACCTAAGAAAAGGACAAAGAGGGGGCTCTTCCCCAGATAGGACCACAGGACAAGCAGCAGTGTGAGCGGAACGACCCAGACAGAAAAAAGAGAGCAGGTGGAGAGGGGGTGCGCACGGGACAGCAGCAAAGCGGACACCGTGGCTCGGGGGAGGAAGACTGACCATTTACGTGCCAACACAAAGGTCCAGACAGGCCCGGATGACAGGGATTCCCTGGGAAGAGAACTGTGGATGGTGGAGGGAGGCAGAGGGCGAGCATCAGGCTGGGCCAGAGACAAGAGACACCTGAGGCCCCAACGGTGTCTGCCAGTGGCCCAGGGGAGGCGTGGGCACCCCATGAGTTCCTGGAACTGAGTAGGTGGCCACGGAGGAAAGAAACTGTCAAGAGGGAAGAGGCGAGGCTCCCGTTTAGAGAGAACGAGGCTGCGTTCTTACCAAGAGGAACAAGGAATCCAAAGAGCAGACAGGACCTGGGGAGGAGGAGACCCGGGGAGGACAAAGCCCCAGGGAGACTGTGCCCTGGCGGGGGAGGAAGCCCCCTGGAGGAGATGGAGCCCGGGGGAGGAGCTGAGGAGAGGGGAAGCCCCGGGGGAGGACAGAGTGGCAGCGCAAGGTGAGTTGTTAAGGCAGCAGACATAAAACACCAGGGCCAGCTGCTCCCAGGACAGCACAGACCTGCACAATGCCACGCTGGTCTGGCCCCCAAACAGCCCGAGGCTCAGGACCATGGTGGCGGATGGGACAATCCGGGGGAGGCTCACAAGCTGAGTTTCAGTGCGTAGAGTGCTTAGGGCCGTGACTGAGGAGGCAGCGCAGCCCAGGCTGAGCAGCCCGAGGGCACGAAGTGCGTTGTGATCAGCCACTTTGAGGACAGGCCAGTCACCGTTGAGATGACAGCACCCTAGTGGGATCTGGCAGCGTTTTTCCTCCATTTTGCAGAGCTGGGATGAACCCAGGGCCTGGTGCAGGCGTGGCAAATGCCCTGCCACTGAGCCGCACCCAGCCCGCTTGTTTATTTTTACGCTTAGGGACACATTAGATTCTTGAGGCGCCCCTTATGGAAGTGCACGCGCACACACGCACGCGCACACACACACACCCACACACACACACCCAGGACCCGTTATGGGAGGTGGGGCCCCCACACCAAGTGTAGGGACTGACTGGACCTTGAACTCCAGGGTTCGGGAGGATGGCCCAGTGAGAAGGCTTGAGGAGATGCACGTCTTAGGAAAGGGGTTGACAAAGGACCCAGGCCTAGAACGGGTAGCCACATGCTGACGACTGCAGGCCAGTCAACATTGAAAGTGTCAGCAGAAAGAGACAGCTGCACGCACAGAGCCCACACAGGGCTGTGACGCCTACTCGACCTTTACCATGGCTCCAAAACCGCCCCTCTCCACCAGGGAGACGCCTTCGCTGAGGCCAGCACCAGGGACCCCATCAAGCGCTTTGTCGTACTGCTCCAGGCTCCTGTGGGCTTCCAGGTGGCTCTCCTGCAGCTGTGACAGCTTGTTCCTGGCCTGCAGGCACACACAACATCAAGGGTGGCTTAGGGGACCCGTGTTCAAACACACAGTGGTCAACTCTCAGTGAAATAAAACAAGATCCAGATTGACAATCCGTTCAAAATGAGCCAGCAGTCGTTCTGTTACTGCTTTTAATGGGTTTTCCTTTCGCATTTGTTTTCCATCACTCCTGAAGGACTGAGAAGCCAAGGAAGGGAAGGCGGTCATCAGGTCAGACAGGCCCTGGTGTGCACCCTAACTCTGCATGGTACACGCTGTGTGACCTCAGGCCGGTGATCTAACCTCTCCGTTTCCTCTTCTCCAAAACAGAGAAGGAATGATGGGGAAAATGCCTACTGCAGTGGCAGCTATTACTATCACTGTCAGTAACACACGTATGCCTTGGGTCCCCTTTTGAGGTCACAGATCCAGGAGTTGAAGGGAAAATCTGACAGCCATCCTGCAGATAATTCCCAACAAAGCACACATGTGCATGATCTCGCCACACAGCACATGGCGGCACATGCTTGTGCCGGCTGTGGCACAAGCAGAGAGGCACATGCTAGGCCATTCTGATGCTTCCAGGGCAGGAACCACTGACCTGTCCGTGCCCCACAGGACAGCAGGACAGGCCCTGCCCAGCTGGCCAGCACCATCCTGGACCAGGGGGGCAAGGACAGGGTGCCCTGGGCAGCTCAATGCTTTAGTCTAGGGTCCCAAGTGGGCGGCACTTGCTGGAGGTGGCGCCTACTCAATGCACTGGGGCAGAAGCCACCTCTTGCACCTCATCCCTCCTGCTCGCACAAGGACCGGGAGACAAGAGTGTCCCAGTCCCACAAGCAGCAATCCTACATCCACGACTTGGGACCTCTGTGCTGGGGCGGGTGGGGCGGAGGGGATAGTGGGGGCAGGGAGCGCGAGCCTGCGTGGCACCTGGCTGATCTCGTCCTGTGTGGACTTGAGGGATTTGATGATGGTCTCCAGCTGCACCCGCCCTGCCTGGATGCTCTGCTCCAGCTGCGTCTCCTCCTGCTGCAGCCGGCTCAGCTCCGACCTGGCCCGGTTCAGGTCATCCTCCTGGGACTTCAGGTCTGACTCCTGGGACTGGATTTGGGTTTTCAGCGATGAGATCTGGAAGGAGGCATCACAGGGATTCAGCAGCCAGCAGCCACAGGGTGGCGACTGCCACATATCCTCACGTAGGTGTGGAGCTGAGGAGGCGGCCTGGGGACGCACCGTCTGGGTCTCGTCCTGGCACTTCTGCCTGACGTCGCTCAGCATGTCTCGGAGCTTGGCCTTCTGCTGGTCCATCTCGTCTAGGCGGTCTTGGGCGTCCTGCTTCTGTGCCTCGAGCTCCTGCAAACTGCTGGTTTCCCGGTCAAGGTCATTCTGTAGTTCCTACGGGAGGAGTGGCACCAACTTGAAACTGGTGACAACGGGGCCATCCAGGATAATCCAGCACAAAAATGTAAAGGAAATCCCTGTGAAACCCCCAAGGGCGCATGCTCCTGACCCCGGCCCTCCATCCGCCATCAGAGCCGCTTCTTCCCCACGCTCCGCTCAAAGGAAGCCCACAACCCACAGCCTCACCTGTACTTCGCTGGCTTTCTGTCGGATGGCCTCCTCCTTCTCCCTGATGTCTTGCTCCAGTGAGTACTTCTCTCTGGATGGTTGCAGGAAGTCGTTTCATGAGAACACGGAGCAAGTCAACCACTGCTGCGGCACCAAACCCTCCACCCTGGCCTCTCTGGTCCCAGCCTGTGGGATCTCCATCTGGGGTGGCAGAAGTCTAAGAACAAGCTGTGTGGTTTGGCTGTGGGTTGAGTGTGTCCCCTCACTGGCCCAGTGCAGGGCTGCTGAGGTGATGCGGTTGTTAGGAGGCAGGCCATTGAGGGTGCTGCTCTGGGAAGGGAGCCTGGTTAGTGGCCATGGCATGTACCACTGTACAGAGAGGGGGCTGGGCCCTGGACTCCCGCTGGCTTTCTGTCTTACTCTGTGATCACTCACACTGCTGTGATGCCATCCACCCTGAGGCCCTCACCACAGGCCAAACAGGTGAACTAAATAAAATAAACCTCTCTTCTTTATACCTTACCCACCTCGGGTACTTTGCCACAGCAACACAAAACACAGTAACACAACCATCCCTTGGACTGTGGGTGGGGCCCCTTTCCACCCCTGCCTAGAAGCAGAGCGTCTTCTCAACTTGGTTACCAAAAAGCGATGTGGGAACACCCCAGAAGTGATAAGGACCTGATGTGCCCTTGCTGACTGTGCGGGTGAAGGGCTGTGGAGAAGGTACGTGGACGGTGCCCAGGGGCAGCGGACTAAGTCAGGAAGCAGACAGCTCAGGCTCTGCTGACGCTGGCAGTGTTGGGGTCGGAGCCTCCCAGAGTCTCGGGAAAAGCCTGGCCCAGCTGCACCGGCTCGGTGTTGTGAGACCCTCACACAGATTCCTCACTACGTTCTCAGTGTCATCCCCTCTTCTACAGGGCTCAGCACAGGTGGCCGCCTACATATAAACTGCCAGAGGCCACCAGCCACCAGGTTCGGTGACAGTGATTGTCACCTGCTCCTGAGGAAACTGCGGACAATCTCCTTTGCTGGGTCCCCGGGTCCAGGAGGCTGACTGGCCAAGACTGCCGGCCAGGCCCTCAGGAGCCGCTGGCACGCACCTCTGCAGTTGGACGATCTCCTGGCTGATGTCGTCCAGCTCCTTCACACCAGTGAACTCCCCAGAGCCCAGCGAGCTGGAGCTGTCCTAGGATCAGGCACAACAACTGTCAGGTACCAGGCATGGTGCGGGGAGGGGGATGGGGGTGCCCTCCGGGGTCTCTCAACTCACAGGGGCAGGGCCAGCCTGGGGAGCCCCCTCCCACCTTGGTGAACTCAGGAAAATGCAGGTCGCTAGTGCCACCGTGTGGCACTCAGCAGAAGTGACGCAAACAGAAGGGGGGGTGCCATGGCTGCCTACTCACCGGGACAGAAGTGCCTCTCTCCGAGGGCGGCACCATGTCGGGCGACAGGACTTGCGGGGGGTCGATTCCCTTACTGACCTTCTGCTGGATGAAATGCATAGCTAGTGCGAACTGGTCTTTGCTTAGCTTCCCCGTCTGCCTCGTGTCTGCCAGGGCCCTAGGAGAAACGGGTGCAATTACACATCAGACTCCAGACGAGGTGCAGGCCCCCGCGTTCCCAACCCTGACAATGTGACTGCTGGGATGGTGGGGCACCACGCAGTCCACAGTCCTTCTGTGGGAGCATCTCCACTGCTTGGAAGTAGTCCAGTCCCACCATCAGTGCCCTCCTCAGAGTGACAGGCATCGGGGGCCGCTGAGTCCCTCCCGAAGGAGAGGAGAGATGCCTGGCCCTCAGGAAGACCTGGCTAGCAGCAGCCAGGGATGAGTGGCTTCTGCAAGTCACCACTGCTGTGCGCGCCCAGCACAACCAGCCATTCCTGCAGAGGCAGGACACGTCTACATGCCCCGCACTGTGCAGTCCGTCCTCAACCCACAGCTGTGGGTACGAGAACAGTCCAGGCTGCTGCTTTCCATCTGGTGGGGCCCACAGTGGCACGCTGGGATGTTAGCACCCCAGGGTGCAGTCACCACCAGCCCCTCCCTCTGAATATCTGTGATCCCCTCAGAGTCCCATGCTGAAGACCTAACCTACACAAGGGTGCTGTTAGGAGGTGGGGCCTTTGGGAGGGCGGGGTAACTTGGAGAGTTATAAAGGGCTCCAGAGCACGCACAGTGGTGCACACCTGTCACCCAGCATGCAGGAGGCTGAGGCAGGAGAACAGGAAGTTGCAGGCCAGCCTGGGACTGCCCAGCAAATAAAAATAAATAAAAAATTAAAACAACCAGATGCCAGTGGCTCACGCCTATAATCCTAGCTACTTGGGAGGCAGAGATCAGGAGGAACGAGGCTCAAAGCCAACCCAGGAAAACAGTTCTCACGACCTTATTTAAAAAAAAACCCATCACAAAATAGGGCTGGAGACTTAAGGTATAGGCCCTGAGTTCAAGTCCTAGTACAGAGAAAAGGAAAGAAAAGAAAAATTAAAACTAATAAAAAGGACCTCCCGGGTTCTCTCTATTCCTTTCTGCCATGTGAGGACAGTGAGAAGCTAGGACGCGGACCCTCACCAGACACAGGATCTGCCAGGCCTGACACTGAACATCTGTCTACCTTCCAACACTGACAGACACCTGCTGTTGTGCCCCCTGGCTGCAGAATCTGTCACAGCAGCCCAGATGCACCCAACACTCCTTACGGCCAAAGAGACTGCCTCAGGGGCATGGCTGGTGGCAAGGGACAGTCCCTTGAAGCAAAACTGTCCTCTGCTCATGTGGTCTTCTGATGTCCTCAAAGTCAGGACAGCATGGGACACACACGGAGCACACAGTGGCCGTGAGTGAGGAGGGGCTGAGGGAAGGAGGCCTGTGAGACCCCTCCCCTTCTTCTGGCTGCCCGCCTGTCCTTGCAGGCAGAAGACACACCCTGAATTCTAACATGTTCCAGAGTGTTGGGGGAGGGGAAGGAGAAGGAAGCATCCCACAGACTCGGGCCCAAACAGTGGCGGGGTGCAGTCCCAGGGGATGGCAGAAGTTCTTTGATCAAGGGCACTGTTAAGTGTCCAGCCAGGGTGGAGGTGGCAGTCTCACGCGCCCCCTGTGGCTCCCCAGGGTGCCAGCTGAGGGCCAGGGCCTTCGGGTGCAGCTGCCTGTCCCCTCCAGCATCTCCAGGAGTGCACATGCAAGGGAACCACGACAAGGAGGACCCAGCTCTGGGGTCTAGCCGCAGTGCTATGTGTGTGTCTGACACGCCCCGACCAAGTCTCCTTTCTTCCATGACCCATCAGTGTCACCATCACGCCAGCCGTGCCTCTCCCCTTGCTACCTGCAGTCAAGTCAGGACACTGCGTCAACTCGGTCCCACCCAGGAGCTTCTACTGCTCCTCTAGATTTGAGAGTCTGCTGGCTTTAGCGATCTCATGCCACTGTCATTTACCGAGACTTTCCTGGACTGTCACTTACGGAGCAGCAGATGTTGTGGTGCTATCTTGGATTTTGGTGTCCTTTCTGGGGTCATAAAAGGGCCATTGCGTTTTATTGGTTTCTCAAGGGGACACTGGAGCCCGAGGGGTTGCGAAGCCCAGTCAGGTGGCCCAGTCTCCCTGGCTGAAGCTAGCTAGCACTGTTTGGGTGACAACCCTGGGATGGCTGGCCTCAGAAGGATAGGTCCGTGTCTCCTGCTGCTGGCTCCAAGTGAAGCTTGGGGGAGCAAGCTAGCAAATGACTTCCCCATGGCTCATCACAAAAGGCAACCAAGGCCCTGGAGAGCAAGGTGAGGCGGCTCCTGGGCCAGGCACAGGGTGCAGACTAGAGCCACCATCAAAGCAGAGCTCCGGGGCTGCCAAGGGAGTCCCTCCTGCACAGGACAGCGAGGCCTGCAGGCCACATGGCTGGCCTCCCCCTCCCACCTCCCTGCGCTCCCGGCCTCACCAGATGTGTGCGAGGAGGCTCTGGGAGAGGCCCGAGTGCATGAAGATCTCCTTCACCTCCTGGCCACTCACGTAGCCATCCAGGTCCAGGTCGGTCTTCAGGAAGATCTCATCAAAGCGCATCTTATCGGCCACAGGCACCACCCACGTCGCTGGCGGCTGAAACCAGGTTTGAAAACCGTTAGCCACATGGCTACGGCCTGCCCAGGAGCGCTTGCTGTGGGGTGGCAGTGCAGTTGTGTGCATTTGGTGCCAGGCCCTCCTCAGGACTGCACAAGGTGAGCACAGATGGAACTCCTGTCTATGGGGAGACTGAGGCTGGGGCAGGCCACAGCCCTGCTCTCCTCACACCTGGATGGAGATAAAGGCCTGGGACATCCATCTACCAAGGCTTCACCTACCACCGGGGCACCAGGAGAAACACATGGCCTTCCTCAGGACGGGCTCCAGGCAGGCCATGGGAGGGCCTCCTGAGCACCGTGGTGGGGGATATCTCCCGACACCTTTGGCCTGCACGCCAGCCTCCCTAGTGCTTTCAGCCCTCAGCACCAGGGCTCTGTGCATCATCCTTTGTCCCTGCCCCACTGCCAGAGAGGACAGAGCCCCTGCCCAGTGTCAGCATGCACACCACTGACAGAGACCCAGGCAGATGTGTGGGATGGGCAGGTGCTCAGGGCCCCGGGCTGGGGAAGGTTGGGGTACAGCCAAGCGCAATGGCTGTCCACAAGGCCCCAGAACCCCACAGAACCCCCCTCAATGGTCTGCTCTGGCAGATGGGCTGACAGCCCACAGCCATGAGACTGTGGCCACTCCATGTATGGCCTCTCACACCACCTGCCCAAATTCTACTATAGAAAAGTAAATGCCAAGCCACACGGTAGCTCATCCCAGTTCCCTGGGAGGTGGAAATGGAAGGACTGAGTTCCAGACCAGCCTGGGCAAAGTTGGTGACACACTGTCTCAAAACCAAATTAAAAACAAAAGGGCTGGGGGAGTGGCTCAAGTAGTAGAGTGCCTGCCTAGCAGGTGCAAGGCCCCCGGTTCAATCCCAGGCCAACAAGCGTGTGTTACTAGAAAACAAGTAACTAAGAAAAAATAAGTATGACATCCTAATGAGAGAGAGAGAGAGCGAGAGAGAGAGAGAGAGAGGAGTTCTCTAAGTGTGCTGACAATGAGGATGTTGGGAAATAATTGGAGAGGGGCATTGAGCCGACCCTGGGCAGGGGGCGGGGAGGGGTTGCATCTGCATCTTATGAATGCCTCCCCCCCCCCCACCCCCGCCCCTGCCACATCCAAGTCCAGCGCCACGTAGCTGTGACCACAGGAATCTACAGCAAGCGCGGAGGGCAGCCCTCCACGAGAGCCATGTCACTTCCATCCCGGGGTTTTGTGGGAGCAGAAGGCTTCAGTAGAACAAAGAATTTATCAAAAAGTCTCCCAGAGCCGGTGAGGTGGTGGTGGGGGAGTGTGGAATGGCAGAAACAATGGATGCACATAACTCTTGGTTTGGGCAAATGTGCTGCCCTCTGTGTACCGTTCCAGCACTATGCACTAAGTCCTGTCACCCTGAGACTCCCTCTCGTAGGCTGTTTGTATAAAGCACCTCTTCTGCTCCCATTCTCTCTCACCCAAGGAGCAAACGTGTATCCCTAAACTTTCATAGTTTTCAAAATGCTATAGAATCATACAATTTGTAGCCTTTTGTTCTAACTTCTGTACTTAGCACAATGTATTAAAATCATCAGTGTTGTTGTATGGATCAAAAAAAAGCCTCCCGGAACCTATGGCAGGACTCCAACAGCAAGAGACCAGGTGGGAAGGCAGGGTGACATGGGGGCAGGGAGGGGTTGGATGGGGAGGTGGGCTGACATGGGTGGCATTTCAGCAAGTGAGTTGTGTCTGTTGTAGAGTGAGGTCAGGGTGGATGGAAAGTCTCAAGTAAGGAAAACCTAAGGACAAAAGACCTCGCTGCCTGCTAGTGTTTGCATGTGTCCCCAGAGCAGCACGCTAAGGGCCTGTCCTGGAACGCATGGACCCCATGGATCCCTGAGCCATCTCGGGGAGCTGTATCATAGAGCTGCTCCCCCATGCCCTCCCTGTGTGAAGACACAAGCAGGAAGGCCCCCGCAGGCACAGGACTGAAATAAACCTTCGTTCTTTATAAATCACTCAGCCTGTGGCATTCAGTTATAGCCAGAGGAGAGGGCCTGAGTCAAGTGGCCACAGCAGCTAGTGACATGAGCCAGACAAGCCAGGCTGAGGCAGAGGAACGGTGAGCCCCAAGAGTCCTAAGACATCACACTATGGGATGACAAGGGTGGTCTGGCCGCCTGGGTTCTGGGCCTCCGGGAACATCAGAGGCCAGCCTCTGATGGCAATACGGTGCATGACCCACAGTAGGGGGTAGGTATCTTGGAGCACAGCTTTCCCAGGGAGGGCTGGGGTTGGAGGCACGCTCAGCAGCCCTTGCATAAGCAGTGAGCAGACCCTGGAGGAAGAAGGAGCTTCGCCCCAATCCAGGAGGCCTGGGGCTCTGACAGTCGCTGGCCTGGGGGGAGGTGTTGGGGATATCAATTGTGATCCCTAACGTGCCCACTGTCAGGACTACGATTCCACCAGCTGCTAATCCTTAGGGGAGGAGACACCCCTACAGACGCCACTGGTGAATCGGTCACGTGGGGCTTGCTGTGAGGACCTGGGTGATCATGAGATGACCAGGGAGAGGCTGCCTCAGCCCCCTTCCTGTTTCTAGAACACCCCCAGTGCTTGCACTCAGCTTGGCCACAGCTGTCCTCTGGCGGCCCTGGTCATTTTGGCTTGGCAGGAGACAGCACCACCTGCCTGTGCCTTCCTCCCTCCGCTTTGCCCACCCTGACTCAGGCGGGCAGGGGCTGGCTGGCTGCTGGCTGGTCTTCGCTCTGCCTTTGAGACCATGAGAGAGGCTGGGACGGACGCAGGGTTCAGCAGTGACCTGCATTCCTTCCCTGCACGTTTCACCCTAGTTCAGAGGCGCCCTCCTACACAGAGTCCACTGGGAGGCTCTAACAACACACATCTGCCTCTGGGGTCTCACTACGGCGTCCAGGTGGCCCTGCACTCCTGCTTTAGCTTCCCAGTGCTGGGACTACAGGCACACACCACAGAGTCCGACAGGAAACGTGTTTGGGTATGGAGCAGAGTTGCTCTTCCGTCTCCAAAGAGAACCAGTTCCAGGGCTCCACAAAGACAACAAACTCCGGGGATGCTCAGAACTCCCTGTGTAAAATGGCGTAGCTTGCGCAGCACCTGCTCACCACCTCCCAATGGCTTGTACGGTCCTGGCAGACAGGCCGATGCTTGGGAAGGGCTGCTGTACCACACTGTTTGGGGAACGGTGACAAGGAAGAGCCTGCGCATGTAGGACCTCTGCTTCCCAACGGTTTCCATCCATGTTGACCCGCAGGTGTGGAGCCTGGGATGCATGTGCTGTCGTGGGGGGCAGGGACTTGTGACCCAGGCCTCCTTCCATCATTCAACGGGCAGTTAGGAGCATCTGTTCTAGAGGCTGGGATTATAACCAGAACCAACCCTGCTCATGGAGCTAAGGGGACAGACGACACTCAGCACAGTGGGCCTGGCGTGGCGGGAGGACGGGGCCGAGGTCTTGCCAGGCTCCCCCACAACAAGGCCTGACAGAGCAAGGTGCTGAGGCTTAAGCCGGGGCAGTGCGCTCCATGCAGAGCACAGGATGGAAGTCCATGACGGCAGAGACCCCAGTACCAACAAATGACTGCACTTATGCGGCAATAAGGAAAGCTCCTGGGGCTGGAGGAGGCGCAAGGGGTAGAACACCTGCTTTACACGTGTGAAGTCCCAAGTTCAAGCCACCAGATTTAAAAAAAAGGAAGAAGGGAAATTCTGAATCTCTGTAGTCAATACTTTTTTGAAACATTTGCTCACAAACTTGCTCCCCAAAACGACCAAGGGCCCGTACCTGCGTTGGCTTGATGGCGTGCTTGGGCGACAGGCTGCCCGCACTGTTGAGGCTGCTGACGCTGCCGTGGGACGGCGTGGAGCGGAGGCTGTCTTTGGGTGGGGGGCTGGCGGGCAGGACGGGCACAGCACCGGGGAACACAGTCTTCTTCCTCTTGGAGGGTGGGATGAGGGATGGGGGCAGGACGGAGGGCACCGGCTCCTTCTCCAGGGCCCGGTACACCAAGTGCATGGCCTGTGGGTGCAAATGAGACTGGCCTTGAGGGAGCGAGGCTGGGGTGGGGCCACGGGGAGAGGGAGGAGGCCAGGGCAGCCCTCTGGGGGACAGCTCTCAGATGACCGTGTGAAAACCCAGCCATCTGATGAGTTCTCTTCCTGTGTGTGACTTCCAGGACACACGAGCCCAGGCAGGGGCTGACCCAGCCAGGCTCACACAGCAGCCCCGCTATCCACGAGCATCCCACAGTCCAAAAACAGGAAATCCCAGAAACAGAGGTACCACAGTCATCGAAATGTGCTACAGTCGATTGCAACAATGAACTTATCACCAAGCACTGTCTCTCTTACTGTGCTGAATTTACAAACTAAGCTTCATCACGGGGAGTGTGCGGGGGGGAAATGAGGGTGCACACAGAGCTCGCACCATCTGCAGCGTGGACCCAGGGCTGCTATTCCCTTCACAGTGGGGCGCCAGCGCAGGCCTGATGAGTTCCAGGGTACTGGACTGGCGGTCAAGAAACACCATGGGGGCTGCCTGCACTCCCAGCATCCCCACAGGGCATGCTGTGTGGAGGACAGGAGCCCCCTGTCCCAGGCAGGACGGGAAATAAACTTTGTCTAAATCACAGATTTTCCAAGTCTATTTTAAAAGCAACCAACTAATGAAAATCACAGACGTCCCTTCCTCAAAACAGGTGGGGCCAGGCACAGGTGCTTACGCCTGTAATCCTAGCTACTCAGGAGGCAGGGATCAGGAGGATCGCAGTTCAAAGCCAGTAAGGGCAGGTAGTTCATGAGACCTTATCTTGAAAAAAAAAAAAACCCATCACAAGAAAGGACTGGCAGAGTGGCTCAAGATAAAGCCCTGAGTTCAAACCCCAGAACCAAAAAACAAACAAACAAATCGAGGTGGGTTTTATTTTTTTGTTTTTTTATTTTTGAGGTAGGGTCTCTCTGTGTAGCCTAAAGTGACCTGGAACTCCCTATGTAGCCCAGACTGGCCTCAAGTTGGAGATTTACCTGCTTCAGCCTCCTGAGTTCTGACACTCAGAGCAGGTTTGGAACACATAAATGACATAAATTTTATGGTCACTCAAAAGGATAAAATGTTAAAAACCAGCTAGTGATGAGAAGAAACGCAGAAGCACAGGCTTCTGAGGTCCATTTGCAGATCAACAGCAGTTTTAGTGGAAATAGAAGAACAAAACAAAAATGGAAGGTCATGGTGAGGACGCATGCTCTGTAGATGGGAGAGGTGCCACAGGACCTCAGCCTTGTCCTTCCCCCGCCCTGTTCTCCTTCAAAATCACATGCCACTAAGTTCACCATATTCTTTTAACTTTTTTTTTGATACGGGGGCATGAACTCAGGGCCTACCCCTTAAGCCACTCCACCAGCACTTTTTTGTGATGAGTTTTGTCCAGATAGTCGTGAACTATATGCCCAGGCTAGCTTTGAACCGAGCACCTGAAGACAGTGAGCTTACTGGTGTTATGTTTTTTACCACAATAAAAAATGTAATGGTTAACTTAATGAGTTTTAAATGCTCTGAAGACAAGCCAATTAACAAACAACCGGAGGAGAGAACAGGCTGACTCCTCCGCCTGGGTGGGAAGGACGCCTATGACTGACTGCCAGTGGTGTGGGGTTAGGAAGGAGCATCAGAGGGGTCTGTCATTACCTCAGACGAGTCAAATTTAACTTAAAAGTGGAAAATTTCAAAGATTTTGTGCTCATGTAAAGTAAGGTAATCACAGCCTTCAATTTTCATCTGTGTCACAAGGTCACGTCATAGGTGTTGAACATCTCTAGCACAGAGGTACATCCTGGGCTCACGGAGTGAGCATTCCTGATCTGAAAATTGGAAATTGGACAAGTGGACAGAACCCCAAATCTGAAATGTTTTGTGGAATGACATGATATCTCAGGTGGATAATCCCACAGCTGACCTCATGGGACAGGCTGCAGGAAGCACAGGTGCAGTGGGTATGGCGGCGTGCCCCAGCCACCCCAGCAGCCTGTACTGGGGAGGCGGGCAGGAAATGGCAGGTGAACCCAGACCCTGTCTCAAAAACAAACCAAAACAAACCAAAAAAGGAAGGAAGGAAAGAAAGAGAGGAAAAAAGGAAGATAAAGTGAAGTGTTCTGGGATGGAGAGCACCTGTGACTTAACTCTTTGCAAACATTTCAGAGGAAAGGTTCGTTGGTGCAAGTGCACGAAGCACAGGGAGGAAGCAACCCTGGGGAGCTGGGAGGAGGGAAGGGAGCTCCAGGACTCTTTGCTGTCACTAGCTTTCCCACGCATCTGGAGTCACCACAATCAGCACTGTCTTCAAGCTAACTAAGGGGACACAGAAGCCAGAGCCCCACATGTGCTACACACTCCCTTCCCTTCCCAGCGGGGCCTACCACAGCAAACTCATCCCGGTCCAGGTGTCCGTCCTTGTCAATGTCGCTGAGGTCCCAGACCTGTGGGGCACAGACATATGGCCAGGTTACAGGGGAGGCCAGCTTGCAGCACAGCAAGCCCTGCCCCCCACACTCGCACTGCGCCCCAGGTGCTGCCTGCTGCATGGGTGACCGGGTGTGAGGACTGCTCCTCGGTTCTCTGAACACCCGTCACCTGTCGATTCCACACCAAAACATCCACAGCCCGTCCACTCTTCAACATCAAGATCAAAACCGTGACCAAGCCTATGCCACCCCCAGTAAGGCATGTGCGCAGAGTGGGAGCACAGGGCTGCACGTGTGTCCTGTCATGAGCACATCACACCCGGAAGCATTCTGCATTCATTTCACCTCCCTGACGCTATCTAGGTGCACCCCATCTTCCCAATGCTCCCCACAAGGCCCGCCCAGAGCAAGCTCTGGGAAAGCTTGCAGAACAGGGCAGAGGCACGGCGGGTGGGCGCGCGCATGCACAGCACGGGCCGCGCGCGCTAGGCGCAGACGCATGCGCACCAGATGTGCGGGTGAGGGCTGTGCGGCGCGCTTGGCTTGGCTGGGGAGCGAAGGCGAGCAGGGGAGAAGCCCCCTGACCCACGGGGAGACGGGCAGGACACCCTTCCTAGCCTCGGCCCCTCCGTCACAATGTGACTGCACGGTTTATTGGGGATTTGGTGAGCACTGACACAGCACCGCCTCTGGGCAGCAACACTATCGCGGACAGGATGAGGGACATGGGACACCCCTGCCAATAACCACCCCCACTTTAAAACAAAGTATAAAGGGGGCACTTGGCATCCTGGGCTGTGCTGAGAGCGGTGACGCTCTGTGAACATTATTTGGGAGTCGGGGATGGCCTGCATTTGCCCCTTTCCCCCAGGTCCTGCTGACAGTCAGGAGTAAGACCCCAAGGCAGCAGCACCCCCAGGCTGGGCCAGGCTGGTGGGGGCCTCATCTGCCCCAGCACAGTGACAGAAATGAGAATACACAGAGCCCTCACAATGAGCCCTGTGGGAAGAGGGATTCAGGGCTGGAGGGACGGAGGTGTGGCCTGGCCTGTCCCAGGTAGGGGACAGCAGCACTCTCCCTTCTGAGCCTGTCCATCTGTGGAACGGAGGACTCCAGCACCTTCCCCACGGGCCACACCCCGTGACAACACCCTGAGCCACCAACTGTGGAAGTACTCAGGCCGCAGGAAGCCCCTGATGGCACAGGCTGGGCGAACAGTCACAGCCAGGTCATGGCCACACAGCACAGGGCTGGAGGAGAGGCCCATCCACCCTGCACACTCACCCGGCCCAGCACATCGAGAGGTAGCTTGGAGTTCATGAGGACGGGCTTGACCTTGTCTCCAGACAGCAAGCCACTGATGGGCAAGAGGCTGTCAAAAATGCCATCGAACTTTGCCTTCTCCTCCACCTGTGGGAAGGGAAGAGCACAGGTGAGTGACAGCACCCATGTGGGGCCCCTGGTGAAAGTCTTGGATGGCTAGAACAGCATGGCTTCTGGGGTTTCCACAGGGAGCCTCCACCTGACAGATACAGATCTCCCACACCAGGCCCTGGGGCCAAGGCCATGCTCTGCCCAGCTACTGCAGGAGGGCAGCCTTGCAGGGAGACACATGACACCCCTGCCCAGCAGGGCAAGAGAAGAAAATGCACATACAGCTTCTGCAGCAAAGATGACTGAAATCAGCTTTAAACACGGGGAGTCCTGCTGCTAATGGCCAGAGACAGCACTGGGTGCAGCTCAGGGGTTGAGCGCTCCCCTGGCATGGGGGTGGCCCTGGTTCCATCCCCAGCACTGGGGAGAATGACGGGTTTAAAACTAGAAGGGTGGGACTGGAGGGGCTGGAGGGACGGGTGTCTCAGTGCCCAGTGGGGAGAGAGTTTCCATTGGGAAGGGGAAGAAGTTATGGAGCATGTGGGGGTGATGCTGTCTACAGTGTGAATGTGTTAATGTTACAGAACTGTGAGCTTAGACATGGCTCAAACCTCTGCCCTATGTGTACTTAACCACAGTGAAAATTTTAAAACTGGGCCTGGTGCAGAGGCTAATGCCTGTCATCCTAGCTATCCAGGAGGCAGAGATCTAGAGTCCAGCCTGGGAAAAAAAGTTAGCCAGACCTCATCTCAACCAATCAAAATCTAGGCATGGTGGCTAATGCCTACTCAGGAGGCAGAGATCAGGAGGATTGTGGTTCAAAGTCAGCCTGAGCAAATAGTTCCGTGAGATGCTATCTCAAAAAGCCATCACAAAAACAGGGCTGGTGGAGTGGCTCAAGGTGTAGACCAAGTTCAAATCCAAGCACTGGAAAAAAAAAATAGTAATAGTTAAAAAATAAAAATAACTTTAAAAGTTAAACAATTAAAGCTGGGGGCGTGGCTCAGTAGTATAGCGCTGCCTAACAGGTATGACACCCTGGGTTCCATCCCCAGCACAGAAAAAGATACATTAAAAATAAAGTAAAGCAAAAAGGTTGGAGAGAAAAAGAAAAGCAGCAGAGCGGATAGGATGGACAGCAGGCGCGGCTCGCACCTGTCTGTGTGAACGCCTGCCCCTCTTCCTGCGGCTCAGGAGGCTCTGCTGGGGACAAACTCCCCGCTCTCCTGGGCTGTTTCCTGGCCGCCTCTCAGTGCGGATGGAGTCCCTGCCCTCCTCTCCTGAGCGCATTGCTCTCTTCAAAGACTGGGCTTTGAAGACTGGGGTATGGTCCTCACGCTGCCCGAATACTCCAGTGCCCAGGCAGAGACTCCACAGCGACCCAGCCACAGGGAGCTGTTCCTGCCCTCTTCCTGAAAGGCCCCACCCCACCCTCACCACAACCTCTCCAAGAAGGGAACAAACCAACTGTGTGAACACCAGCACAAAAGTCAGGAGTGGTGGCCACACCTGTAATTCCAGCTCTTAGGAGGAGGGGGCAGGTAGATCAACTTCACGGCTGGCCTAGGTTACATGCAAGATCCTGTCTCAAAAAAAAAAACCAAAAAAACAAAAACAAACCCCACAACACAAACTAAACACTAAAAAGCCAACAACAGTAACAAAGCGACAAGCGTTGGGGACACAGGAGGCGGGAGGTTTGTCTTTTTTTTTTAATCACAAAGGTGCTATTTAAGTCAAGTGAAAGTGAGGCCAACTGAGGTCTATCCCGATGGGGCTTCTGTATAATAGCCACACATCGCTGGAAACGCCTCATACAGTAATTGTGTGGTTTTGCTTTACTCACAGGGCCATTTCTTAGGTCTGTGGGAAGTAACTACAAGACAGTTACAAAGTTTGAAAGAACTGCTAATACATATACACACATATGTTGGTTACCTTAGGCACTGGCAGAAATCCACATATCCTTAGTGTGTGTGTAATAGGTAAGTTTTTAGTGGTGATTAATGCACAATCTTTGAAAACAGTTCAGACGATGAATCTGACTGTTCAACTGCTGAGTGAAACAGACATGAACTAAAACTTAATTCTGACAGAAAAAAAAAAAAGAAAAAGAAAGTGAGGCCATCCGGGGGCTGGAGGTGGGGCTCAGCCATGGAACGCCTGCCCCAGCACCACAAAAGGTGGCAGGGGCGGGGAGGACACCATGAGAAGGCCGGGGAAAGGAGTGGAGGGACGGGGCCAGTTACCAGGGACGGTTTTGTGCTCCCGTCCACCCCCCGCCCCCAGCCCCATCTTTTTGAGACAGACAAGGTGCTGCTGTGCAGCCCAGGCTGGCCTCAAAACCACAATCCTCCTGTCTCCGAGCGCGGGGGATTACAGGCTTGCCCACCATGTCCAATTTGTTTATTTTTCTCTCTAGAAGCAGACACAACATTCTCCGTCTCGGCAAATCACATATTGAGTGCTGAGAGATGCACACAACAGTGAGGGTCTTCGAAAGGAAAGAACGACGATGAGAAGCAGCTGAGAGTAAGGGGCCTCTCAGGCTCTCCCAATTTTCTCTTCTTATTTTCTTTGGTGGAACTGGGATTTGAATTCAGGGCTTTGTGCTTGCAAAGCAGGCACTCTACCATTTGAGTCACTCCTTCAATCAATTTTACACAGGTTATTTTGGAGATGGGGGTCTCCCAAACTAGTTGCTGGGGCTGGCCTTGAACCTTGATCCTCCCAGTCTCAGCCTCCTAAGAAACTGTGATTACAGGCATGAGCCACTGTGCCCAGCTTGCTCTTCTATTCTGAGCAGCCAGCATGGGCAACCAGAGCCTGAGTGGGATCTGAGCTGCAGGCTTTTGGGAATCTGACTTCTGCAATGTGGCTAGTGGCCTCACAGGCAACTTCCAAGGACAGGGAAAGGTATTTCACGCTGATGCTGGAGACACCCACACAGGACAGATGACACAAGTGTCCTGCAGATGTTCTGAAGCACATCATAAAGGTTACAATGATGCACGTGACCACTGCACTCACTTACCCTCACGGCCCAGTGGGTCTCAGCAGAAGGTGGTGTGGCCATCAGTGGACTGCTGGTGTCATGCTGCAGAAGAAAAGAAACATTTGCTGTGGTGGCGGCACAGGTTAACCCGCAGGAGTAGTGTTCACTGAAAGCTCTTAGAGCCACCACACAGAGCAGACCTCTAAAGTTAAGCGGACCAGCAATTCCGCTCCCAAAAGGATGTGAGGACTGGTGTTTAAACAAATGTGGTAGTGGACACATCCACTTGTCCACCGATGAGGAGTGTCACATAGTGGAGCACTGTCCACATTCAGCCACACAAAACGGCAATGTGCTAACCTACACTGTAGCACAGGTGAACCTCAAAACTGTGCAGGGTGACGCAGGCCAGACGCAAAGACCCCACAGTGTATGACTCCACTTAGAAAAATGACCAGAACAGGGCTGAGGTACCACTCCAGTGGCAAAGAGCCTGCCTAGCAAGTGAGGCCCTAAGTTCCAACCCCAGTTCCAGGATTACACCTATAATTCTAGCTACTTGGGAGGCTGAGGTAGGGAGGATCAAAGCTCAAGGCCAACCCCAGGCAAACAGTTCTAGAGACCCCATCTCCAAAATAACCAGAGCAAAACAGACTACAAGTGTGGATCAAGGGGTAGAAAATCTGTTTTGCAAGTACAAAGCCCTGAGTTAAAAAACCCCAATTACACCAAAACAAGAAAAAGAAGCCGGCACCATTGGCTCTTTGCTTATAATCCTGCTACTCGGGAAGCAGAGATAAGGAGGACTGCTGTTCAAAGCCAGCCCCAGCCAATCAGTCAAGAGACCCTATCTGGAAAAAAACCCCAAAAAAAGGGCTGGTGGAGTGGATCAGTAGTAGAGCACCTGCCTATCAAGTGTGAGGCATTGAGTTCAAAGCCCAGTTCCACCAAAAAATGAAAAAACAAAAAACCATCCAGAAAAGGCAAGTCTACAGAGACAGGAAGCAGATCAGTGGCCACCAGGGACAAGGGAAAGGGATGAGGAGTGAGTGCTGATGGGCTCAGGGCCTTCTTTTGAGGGGATGGAATGTTCTGGAACTAGACAGAGGTGATGGCTGCACACAGAATGGTGCACTTGAAAATGCTGAATTGTGCTTATGTGAGTGACCTTCTCCATGACAAGTGGGCAGGCGAGAGCGAGCCTGCAGCTGTGTACACCCCAGCCAGGACACTCACGAATTTGGGTGGAGGCATGCTGACACTCAGATTGCTCAAGGCGACTTCATGACCGCTCTGCGCGCACGCCACCAGCCTCAGTGCAACATAGAAACCCTGCGAATCAGACAAGGGGAGGTGTCAGTGCCACATGGCTGGGCAGGCAGGGGACAGCTGTCGCCCACGGGCTCTGGGGGAGGAAGGACTGGGAAAGCACAGTGCGGCTCAGTGGTGAGCGCTTGCCCGGCATGTGTGAGGCCCTGAGCCCCATCCCCAGCACTGCAAAAGAAATAAATACTAAAAACTAAAGAGCACTCAAAGACAGGGACTCACCCTGGGTCACTGAAGATGCTGAAACAGACTCATAAATCCAGTAGTCTTCGAAACCTCAAATAGGTGTTTTTCAAAACGACACTCCTAACACTCAAGTGCTACACTGTATAAAGCAGCAGAGTCAAATGCCTAAGACGCTAAGCGATGGCGCCCGTATGTGTCCGAGCTGTTGTTTCGCAGTGCTGGGGGATGGACCTCAGGGCCTCGTGCGCTGCTTTTTAAGCACTGGGGATGCAGCCCAGTGTGCATAAGAATCTGAAATGATTCTGGTATCACAGGTAAGGCCACAAGACGGTCAAAGACGGGCGAGCAAGCATCTGAACACCTGCACTCCCACGTGAACACCCACTGAGGTTTGGGGGCTGGGCTTCGGCTTCGCCTCGACGGTGGGGTGGCAGGGGAGGGAGTACAGGGTCATCCAGCCCTCCCTTTGCTCGTGTGCACGTGTATGTACCTGTTTGTCCAAGAACCCTTTACCTTCTGGATCAGCCAAGTCCCATATCTGCGGAAACACAAGAGCACCCGAGTGTCAGCAGAGACCAGAACGTGGCACTGCCTGCCTACCGGTACCCACGGCCCTGGAGCTGCAGTGAGCGTGCCCAGGCCGCAGAAGACCAGGCCAACTCAGATCAGGTGGGTGAGCTGCCCATGGGCACACAGCCAGCCAGGAGCAGGGTGCAAGGAACCCCAGGTCCACTTGGCTTTAAAGCTAGGGCACTTGATGGCACCTCCACCCCAGCATAAATCCACAGCTACCATGAGCCCCAGGTCACTCAGGTCTGCTGTCCACTGACACGTAGCCATGGGGACGCCACCTGAGCATTTGCTTGGTTTACTTTTCGGGGTAAGAGGGAGGGTAGGATAGGCTCTCGCTGTGTAGCTGGGCTGGCCTCAAACTTGTGATCCTCTCGCCTGTGCCTCCAAGTGCTGGGATTACAGGCGTGTGTCACCACACCTGGCTTCACTGGGGCATCTGGACCAACGAGTTACAGCTCTGGGCAAGCAGGCCGCATGCGGGAGTGGCCTCCACGGAAATGTCTGTTGGTCCTCACCTACCTTCCCCAGGATGATGTCTGACAGCCCTGACTTCTTCAGAAACAGTGCTGCTTCACTGGCCCCCACTCTCCCTGTGTGCGCTGGGTCCACCTGAAGGAGGAGGGCAACAGTGGGGTCAGAGGGGGTCTACACCCCAAGCTGCAGTCGTCACACTGAGCGGAAAAGGACAGAAGGCTACGTCTACTTGGCATTGAGCTGCTCGGCACATGGAGGGCCCGGGCTCCACTCCCCGAACCAGTCAGTCAGTCAGAGCCAGAGGGCCACGCACCTGCTTGTAGTAAGATTCATACAGTGGGTTTCCAGCGGGCATCTGTAAGAAAAACCTAAGTGTTGGTCACAGTGGACACGGTCCCCCAGAAGGGACAGAGTGTCCCACCACCCCCCCCAAACTTAATTGTTTTGGTTGAGTGAGGGTCTCACTGAGTTGCCCAGGTTGGTGTCAAACTCCTGGGTTCAAGAGACCTCCTGTCTTGGCCTCGTGAGTGGCTGGGACCACAGCCTCAGGCCACACTCCTGCCCTCCCCTTCCCCACGGTAAAAGTTAAAACTCAGGCCTTCAAACACCCTCCAGACACACCCCAGACCCCAGGACATTTTCACACACGGCTGTTCCGCCTACTCAACTCAGGAGGCAGCTAGTGTTCTCTGGCAAATCCTCACTCCTGTGCCAACAGCAGGTCACCCAGGACGTGTGGTGGCCACAGCCAGGTCATTCCCCATTTCATGAGTGATGACTCTCGCCTGGCTGTCAGCTCAGAGGCAGGGTGCACCGCTCTGTGACCAGGTGGCCAGGAGAGCAGGCTCTGTGGCTCTGAATCGGGAGAGTCTTCTGTGGCCCGGCACACATGCCACCGACCGCTTCCCGCCCTCACAGCATCCTCTACCAGCCACCCGAGTGACTGTTGAAATGCACGCTGATGGCACCTGCTGGCACTGGGGACTCCATGCCAGCCCCAGCTTGGATGCCTTGGACATTGCGACGATCTGGTCCAGGTCACATGGCTAATACGAGGCCATGAGGGCTCTTCCTGTGCGTGGATTAATGCTGTCATTGAGGGAGTGGGTTCCCAAGAAAAGAATGAGCTTGGCCTCCTCTCCTCCCCCTTCTTTCCCTGTGGGATGATGTGGGGAGGGAAGGGGGGAGGAGAAGGTCCTCCTCAGCTGTGGACTTTTTGCCTTGGATGCCCTGGCCCCTCCACAGCTGTAAGAAGGCAACTCCAGTTGTTACGAGCGCCCAGCCTCGGGGACTGCGGTACAGCAGCACACAGTGGACTGAGACACTGAGAGACAGAGGGGCAGTGCAACACCGCCATGGGCTCGCTGAGGGGTGGGAAGTGAAGAGGCCCAGTGATGCTTAATTGAACAGAACAGCACAAACAGCTAGAGAAGGGGAAGCTCTGTCTGAGAGGTGGACTGTGGTGTATAGTAAAACTTCCTTTCTAAGGCAGGCACAGTGGCTCAGCCTATAATCCCAGCTACTTGTGAGGCTGAGATCGGAAGAATGCAGTTTGAGGCCAGTCTGGGCAAACAGTTCAAGAGACCCCATCTCCAAAGTAACCAGAGCAAAATGTACTGGAGGTGTGGCTCAAGGGGAAGAGCGCCTGCTTCGCAAGTACAAAGCCCTGAGTTCACACCCCAGTCCACCTAAAACCAAACAAACAGAACCCCAAAACTTCCTTTTTATTGTGGTACTGGGGCGTGAACTCAGGGTGTCACACTTGCGAGGCGGGCAAGGGCTTGGGTCACTTCCCCAGCCCTTCTTTTTTGTTTCTTGTTTTGAGATAGGGTCCTTCATTTATCACAGGCTGCCATGGACTTCGATCCTCCTATTTACATGTCCCATCTAGCTCTGATGCCAGGCGTGCACCACCACACCCAGATTATTGACTGAGATGGGGTCTTGCTAACTTTTTGTTCAAGCTGGCCTCAAACCGCAATCCTCCCCAGCTCCACCTCTGGAGAAGCTAGGATTACAGGTGTGAGTTGCAATGCCCTAAAGCTTCCTTACCTGCTAACACACCTCCTCTCTCTCTCTCTCTCTCTCTCTCTCTCTCTCTCTCTGTCTCTCTCCTTCCCTCCCTCTCTCTTTCCCTCCCTCCCTCTTTCCCTCCCTCCCTCCCTGACTCTCTCTCTCTTTCTCTGTTTCTCTATAAATATATCTCTCCCTCCCTCCCTCCCTCTTTGTCTCTCTCTCTCTCTCTCTCTCTCTCTCTCTCTCTCTCTCTCTCTCTCTCCTGGATTTTTGAGAGCAGGTCTCATCTGCAGCCCAGGCTGGCGTGGGACTCACACTCATGTCCCCCCATGCCCCAAGCTTGTTAGGGACCTGACTCGATGCCTGACTCGATGACAGTGTCCAGCCATCACCTGCTGTGTGATCTCCTCAGTTTCAAACTGTGGCATGCTTCCAGAACCTTCTACCCAGAGCAGTAAGACCCAGAGAAAGGAGGTACAGTCAGATGGGCCGCTTGTCACCTGTGAGAAAAGGTGGCGGTGGCTGGGTGCAGACAGCCTGCTCCCGCTTGTAGACCCCACAGATGACAAGCATGCCCTTCTGCCAGAGCTCGGCCACAGATCTGAAGCACATTTCCAGGCTATTCCACTCTGCCTTCTGAGCCACTGTGACTCCCGTGAAGGAAAGCGTTAGTTGTCAACAACCTCCCAAACACCTCAGAGTGACGAGACCCTCATTTGAGCCACAAGTTCAAGACCAGCCTGACAACACAGTAAGACCCTGTCCCAAACCAAAGCCAAGAGCAAACAGAGTGCCAAGATCTGCCATCAAGGAATCAAAAGTCACCAAAGCCCATGGCCCTGGGCCCTGCTTGCTGCCATCCTAAGGACGGCTCTAGCAGTCAAGAGCTGGGTGTCAGTTCACGAAAGGTGGCCCAAGCATACAGGAACCCATGGGTGTCAGCTGTCTGCACAGTGATGTCAGCAGAAGTGTCCACTCGCTACACGCATGTCAGATGCCTCAAAAGCAGAAGGGAGGAGGAAGGAGGGGGACTGTCAGGCACCGATGGCACTTCCTCCACCACTGCTTCTTCCTGGGCACTGTGGAATCACGCCTGCAAACTGCCACCGAGAAAGAGATGCACCATCCATGCCTAAGCCCCCAGTCACATGTGAGGGGCCGGGAAAGGTCCTCCACAGACTGACAGTTGCCCCCAGGCTGCCCACCCATGTCTGACCCCAAACAGAGCCAAAAGTCAACCTTCAGGCAAAGTCAGAGAGGAGGCAGAGAACTGGAGGATCTCGGTTCACAGCCAGCCTGGGCAAAAAGCTGGCAAGACCCAATGTCAATCAACAAGCCAGGTGTGGTAGTGTGTACCTGTGATCCTCGCTCTGCAGGAGGCATAAAGAGGATGATTACAGTCTAGGCTGGCCTGGACGCACAAGATGCTCTCTGAAAAGTAGCTAAAGTGAAAGGGCTGGCAGAATGGCTCAATTGACAGAGTCCTGGCAAGAATGAGCTGAGTTCAACCCCCACTGCCACAAAAAAAAAAAAAAAAAAAAGAGAAAGAAGGAAGGAAAAGAAAGAGAAAAAAGGGTGGGGAAAAGGCTGTCAATGAAGTGGTGACAGCTTCACCAGCCCACTGCACTTTGTCAGTGCAGAGTCTGGATTTTGTGTGTGTTGGGGATGGAACCCAGTGACACATGACGCAAGCTAGGCAAGCACTCAGAAGTGAGCTGCACCTACAAGTCCTTTTGTTTTTAAGTTTGTTTTTGAGATAGGGTCTTGCTATATGCCCTTGCCTCCTGCCTGTGCCTCCCAAGTAGCTGGGATTACAGGCGTGTTCCACCAAACCTGCCTGGGTCTGGATTACTGATGAGGTTGCACGTAGCCTTCAACTCTATTTTAGGGCACCCTCCGTCTCAAGCACTGAGAGACAGCACGCACAGTCCCTGGGCCCCTTGGCTGCATCCTCCGGTGCAGAAGCAGTGGGTGACAGGGAGGGGTGTGTGGAACAGCTGCATGTGGCTCTGTTATTGAAGGGTGACAGCACCACACCTCGTGTGTGTGTGTGTGTGTGTGTGTGTGTGTGTGTAATGAACTTGGAAGAAACGGCTGAGATGAGAAGCATGCTCCCGGGACCACGTGGAGGGGACTCGAGGCGCACATGGCAGGTTGTCCGTGGGCTGCAACCCCTGCATCGAGACCCTTCTGCCAAACCCCGGGCTGCCTGGAAGCACAGACTACCCAGGCTCCACTTCACGATGGCACCAAAGCAACTTGGACCCAGTAGAAACTGTACTGCAAACCTGCCTCTGCATCTTTTGGAAGTTTCTTACTTTTAGTTTAGTTTTTTTTTTTTTTTTGAAACAGAGTCTGTATGTAGCCTAGCCTGGCCTGGAACTATCTTCCTGCCCCCACCTCCTGAGTGCTGGGATTATAGACGTGTGCTGCCATGCCCAGCCTTATCTGGGTCTCTTCCCAGGCTAGTGACACGTGGTACCATATTCCAGTGATGCTGGGCAACAGCCCCACAACCAGCAGGGAAACGCCCCAAACTGCAGTGTGCTGCGGTCCTAATTTAAGCTATGCTTGGCGGGCAGAGCCGAGTTATTTTCTACCTACCACATTTTAATCTGCAATGGGTCCGCTGCAGCTCCAGAGCAGCTGCGCATGCCCACATGCAAAACAAAGCAATGACCGCTGGCCTTGTTTGCTTCAAAATGATTAGTTTCTTTTCTTTGTGGTGCGGGGAAAGTGGAGGTGCAGAAACCCAGGCTGGAGAAGCACTTCCACTTCCCTGTCACATTCCTACGGGGCCGCACAGTCAGCAGCCGACATCTGTGTCACTGGTGAGTGAGCACACAGCAGAACTGGGACTGGACTGGTGACACCAGCAGCATGAGGGTGACACTGGGGCATGTCCAGCCTTTCTTCAGTTGTCTGCTCAGAGGGACTGCGCCCGAGCTAAGACAGCGTCACGAGGGGAGGCCTGGGAAGGGAGGGATGGCCCTTGTGGATTAGAGGACAGAGAGCTCAAGTTAGAAATGAACGGAGGGGCCAGCGTGGTGCGTGCCCCTGCTCAGGAGGGGGGGCAGGACAATTCCCTACACCCAAGAGTTCAGGGCCAGCTTGGGCCACGAACACGAGCAGTTGGGAGCTGATGGCGCCTGCCTATAATCCCAGCTGCCTGGAAGGCCGAGATTGGGAGGACTGTGGTTCCAAAGCAGCCTGGGCAAAAAGTTTTCCAGATACCACCTCACCAGAAAAAGCTAAGTGTGGTGGTGTGTGCCTGTCATCCCAGCTGTGGCAAGAAGTGTAAAAGTAGGAGGACTGTGGCTCGAGGTCAGCCTGGACAAA